CCTATCTACCACTATCATATTATATACATGCCACTATCTACCACCAACACCACTATCATATTCTATACATGCCACTATCTACCACCAACACCACTATCATATTCTATACATGCCACTATCTACCACCAACACCACTATCATATTCTATACATGCCACTATCTACCACCAACACCACTATCATATTCTATACATGCCACTATCTACCACCAACACCACTATCATATTCTATACATGCCACTATCTACCACCAACACCACTATCATATTCTATACATGCCACTATCTACCACCAACACCACTATCATATTCTATACATGCCACTATCTACCACCAACACCACTATCATATTCTATACATGCCACTATCTACCACCAACACCACTATCATATTCTATACATGCCACTATCTACCACCAACACCACTATCATATTCTATACATGCCACTATCTACCACCAACACCACTATCATATTCTATACATGCCACTATCTACCACCAACACCACTATCATATTCTATACATGCCACTATCTACCACCAACACCACTATCATATTCTATACATGCCACTATCTACCACCAACACCACTATCATATTCTATACATGCCACTATCTACCACCAACACCACTATCATATTCTATACATGCCACTATCTACCACCAACACCACTATCATATTCTATACATGCCACTATCTACCACCAACACCACTATCATATTCTATACATGCCACTATCTACCACCAACACCACTATCATATTCTATACATGCCACTATCTACCACCAACACCACTATCATATTCTATACATGCCACTATCTACCACCAACACCACTATCATATTCTATACATGCCACTATCTACCACCAACACCACTATCATATTCTATACATGCCACTATCTACCACCAACACCACTATCATATTCTATACATGCCACTATCTACCACCAACACCACTATCATATTCTATACATGCCACTATCTACCACCAACACCACTATCATATTATATACATGCCACTATCTTATTATATGCATTAACACAAATTTCCAGCATCTAGAAATTGGGAAAAGGGTGTTTTTAGCTTCTATTTCCTGATTATCAACTTTCATATTGCGAAATGCTGCACCAAACGAGACTAATTTATCTTTTTACTTTCGTTCTGCATCACCATAATTTTTTCAAGGAATACTCAACTTTTTCCTAAAGCAACCAGATATCAGTCGGCTTATATCTCAAATTCCAGTTGGAACTTGTAACACCCTTGTCTGCATATGCATGTGAATGTGTGTAACCCGTGCAAGCAAGCGTGCGTGCACATGTGTGTGTGTGTGTGTGTGTGTGAGAGAGAGAGAGAGAGAGAGAGAGAGAGAGAGAGAAGCTTAACCTGTGTTGTACTGTGATGCCAATCATGGAACAATCTACTAATGGTGGAAATATGGCTGAAGGGAAAAACATGTGAGGACAATAGCGAATGCACCTCGATGCCAGTAGAAAACAATCATCCACTATGTCCGGTCTGGAAGTGAAGTCCTAAAAGGTTGATTCCTCGGATCAAAATCAACGTCTCATAAATCTTGGAAGAGGCAAAACGTTAGTAATTGAAACCTACCTGAATTCTTGTAAGCAGACATATAGTGTGGCTGAACAGTGATTCAATCAAGATTTTTAAGTAGTCTCCACAAGATGGATCAGACCCGAATATCTGCACATCACAATATTCACTGATTGCTGAAGATAAATAAACAGATAAACATTTTTTTAAAAGTTCAAAGAGAAAGGCATACCTTGATAACTTCACTAGAGAGATAAAGGAAACATGGTTGGTGGTGTTGTTTATATAGGCCTTGTATCTCCTCTAGCATTGCTCCAATTGTAATTCCCATGAACCTTTTAGAAGTTCTCACCTGAACGTAATAGTTTAGGCTCGGTTTGGTAGAGCTTTCTAAATTTAATTCCACCTCTTGGTTTGAGTGTGGTGTTTGATTAGCATTTTCAAAAATGGATTTCACACCCACTTTTGAAAACACGTCTACCTGGTCATCTTCCTAGACGTCCGGCTAGTTAACCGGAACAGTGTTCGTTTTTTTTTTTTTTTTGGCACCTGTTATTTTTATATTTTAAATAAATAATATTTTCGGAATTTTATTTTAAATTTTTTATGAACTTTGAATAGAATTTTGGATTGTGAGTTTGGTTATGAGTAGCAAGTTTTTGAATCAAATATTATATGTCACATCAAAAATTTCAAACTTAATTCAAAAATCATAACCAAACAAATTTTCCAGACTCAAATCATAATTCCAAAACTCACAAAATCAAAATACAACTTTATTCTCAAATCATAATTCTAAAACTCTACCAAACGCTACCTTAGTGTCTCTAGCAAGAAACAAGAATAGTAGTGATGTATGGAATCATCAATAGACAACATCCATGTTTTTCTCTAACTTCAAGGATGTGATAGAGCATGTGGGTCCATAAAATTTTAACAACAAAAGTAGGTTCGCCAACAACTAAACAAGATTAATAATATTTATGTGTAAGCTTTTTCTTGGTTCAAATGAACCACCAAATTAGAAACAAGAATAGCAAACATAAACACACTAAAGTTGCTACCTGCAACAGATTATCAGTGAACTTGTTTATTAGTTAACTTTGTGCATTCATTCTGGACTCATGCTACCATAGTCCAACTCAGAAATCAAATTCTTAAATACTAAATCTGAATATTCAGTTCAATTTTGCAAGAGATGAAAGTCTTGAGTTTTATACAATTTTTTTTTTCTTTTTTTTTCCATTTCCTATATTTACATGTTTATTTCACAAATTCACATAGCTTTATATAGCAGAGATCATTGTTCAGCAAACTCACAGCATTTTTGCAAGCTCGACAAAGAGACTCCATGGTCTGCACGTCCCAAGCACAACTGCAACATAATCATTTTAAACCATAGATCAACTAATAAATAAATATCAAGTATGCAAGCTTGAAGGAACATTGGCCAAAGCTTAATGGGGCAGCAATTTACAAAATCTTACAGATCAAAGATGGCTTTGAATATTGGCCAAAGCCTTTGAACTGCATCTGCGACAGCTTCAGGGTGATTTACATATCTGCAAAAATGGTTTGAGTTGAACAATTGAGAATAATATTTTGCTGGATTAAGAAAATAAGGGACACAAACAATGGAAAAAATAACCATACCTAAAGATATTTGCAAGTCGATCAATATGAACCGTTAACTCACGAGCCGTTATTTGCCCCAATATGACTGGACCTTGATTAATAATTTCCTGGTTGTTAACCACATTAATTGGTGCATCATTCTACATAAGTAAAATTAAATATTTACTTAAAAAATGAGACTAACCTGTAAAGGTGTTACAGCAGGCAAGCATAACACCTCAAGGGCTTTCTTGGCATGGTCTGAAGGAAGTTCTGTAATAACCACACTGCAGGAAGGTTTTTTTTTTTTAAAAAAAAAAAAAAAATCAAATGAAGCATTTCATTTATCTGGTAATTGACTAAAATGTTTCCAAAAAAACAAGAATACCTTAAAGCTTCAACCAGATGCAATGAGTCTTCGGCAGATACCTTAAAGGCACCTTCTCCAACCATGGCCCTTTGGTATATACAGAAAAGACCATCTAAGGATCCACGAAGCTTCTTCCCACATCCTACAGAAATAATAATTAAGTTTAATCAACACAGCAGAATTATCGTAGGAAAAAACCAAGCTGTTGCTATACAGCTACAGTTTGATTGTAGCTAGAGTGACTAGTAATTGGTAAAAGTGTTGAGAGCAGAACCACATACACTAGACAAGTCTTGTTTTTACAGAAGATGTGACATTGAACGGCTGGAAGTAAAAAGATTAGCACAACACCACTACAAAATTGTTTAGCTGCATCTCAAAAAGCTTGGAGGCATGACTGTTCTCTCAAAGTTGGAACTAGCTAGAAAGTGCATATGAAACCCACAACACAGTCCTAGAGTTGTAGTTAAGACTTTCACATTTAGACACCAATTGTACTACCGCATAATTCTTATAGCCACAAGGCATGCTAAGGTCCTAAGGTGCATGTGATAGTGTATCATCACTACATGCATGACTGATCCAAATATAGTTCATTGAAGTACAATTAGCAGATGGCTTAGTCACAAAACAAAAAAATAAATTCATTAGCAGATGAGAGTCTATACCATTACAGATGTGTCCAAAAGCCAAAGCAGCAGCACCTGCAGTATCTTCAGACATACTCATGCCACTCACAAGAATATCTATGAGCGGAGGCAAGAATGAGAGTCCACTAGGTGCAGCATCAAGCCATTTTGAATAGGCCCCAATTGTTAAGCACACTGGGAAATTAAAAATAAAAAACAGAATATTCATTAGGTTATTAACAATGGCAAAAAGAAAATGTTATTAAGGGCCATGGTTGGTGGGGCTTTTGGAACTGGAAATAAATGCATAGCTCCCTTGCCTACAATTTCCACCAGTAATACCCTTGTCCCCTTCCCAGGGAAGGAAAAAGAATATCGTGATGAATAGTAAATAAGGACGGATAGATTACTAGTAGTTAGAAGTTGCGGTTGATGAGGAAGTTTTGGAAGCAAAGACATAACCTGTGAAAAGGAAACAAACAAGTAAAATATTAAGTTGCAGACAAAAAGACAATTGTGGGTACTTGTATCAAGCCCAATACGTGGCAAGCCCTACGGGCGCCACATCATCAAAGCCATGCCCGCGTGACAGACTGATAAGGCACCATGTCGGCATATCACATGTCTGATATATGGTGAGCCCTACGGGCACCATTTCACCAACACCCGCCTGCATGGCAAACCGCCAAGGCATCATGCAAAACCAAGACTATATCCTTAGCCTAAGCGGGAGCATACACACAAGCCCAAATATGAAGAGTCCTGCAACAGACAGCACCATGGTCCCCGCAAGCCCATGGTCCTTCATACCTCACTCTAAGACCAAACAACAATATAATCAACTCTCGGCTTACCTGGACTTGGATTGATAAGTGCGAGCCCTTGGCTCTCTTAAACATTGAGATACACCCCTGGCCCATTCTCCTACTTGGTCGCCTGGAAGCAAGCAACATTGAGATGGGCCCTGACGCAAATTCACCTACTTGGTTGCCTGGATTGGGAGCAGAACCTAGGCACTACCGCTCGGGATCATTAGAGGATCTTGCACTGGCAGCTGAGGTCATAGGATCGCCAAGATGGTTGCCGTCTTGCCAAGACAACTCCATCTTGACCAAGCTTGGAGAAGAGGCAACAAAGACCTTACACTCATGCCACATGATGCATATATGATACATTGCTCTCCCGCCTGCCATGATACATTGGTCTACCGCCTGCCATCAAATCACAGACAGCAATAAGGCTTATGACACTTCTGGCAGAGTTAGGAAGAACAAGCCACCTGTCCAACAGGTTGCTTGGGCTCTCCATATGCAGCAGGCAAACTTACTTCACCACAACACAACTCCATAATTCTAACACATGTACACAACACACAAGTCTTACACTTAGACACTCATACTCACACTATACACTAGTGTCCAAGGTCCATCACTGCCAACCTCTCCCTCTCCAAGCTTGCCTTGGCCTCCTCCTCTCCACCTCCACCTCCGGTGATCTTGGGCCATTGAAGTGCCCACCATCTTCCCAGAGGTCAACGATTGACTATCTCCAAACACACCCCTCACCCACAACAATAAAAAATACAGGATTAAAAACCAGGAACAAATAGAGCCAGAAAATGTATAAATTAAATGTCTTTAATAGTCATGCATCTCATAGAATCTTAGATGTAGTATGTAAACTGACAAAAGGAAACATTAAATATTTACAAACGGGAAGTTAAAAGCAATAATGCACCGCAGTGGAGAAAAAAAATCACGTGGTGCCAGCCTTCATGTCATAGCAAGAGAAATTTGAAGGGCATTCAAACCTGGGGCATTACTTCAGCTTGTGTGACAGAAACATAATCTGATATAGCCCGGATACAATATAAAGCAGCCTCCACTGGACGCCAATCACTATGCCCGTCATTTCCACAACTACCTACAGCCTGAGATAATTATTTTATAAGAAAATGTTCAGACCATGGCTCACAAAATTCCCATGAAACAAAGGTCAACACAATCTACTTAGAGATTACTACAACCATCCATTTCATTGCCAAAAGGAAAAAAGGGGAGGGGGAAAAAGGAAGAAGCAAAGAAGGGGGTATAGTGAAGAAACAAGAATTCTTTAAACATCTACTCCTATGCAGAAGCATTCCTTCAAAAAAAAAAAAAAAAAAAACAATAAAACCAAACCCAAAAAAACAAAAAAAACAAAAAACAAAAAACAAAAACAAAAGGGAGGAGGCTCAGCATGGTTTAAAAAACTTCCTTAAAGGACCATTATGGTATTAGGGAGGCTCACCAATGTTGAGGACATTAAGGAAAGGAAAGCCAAAATTGATGTAGTAATTAAACAAATCATGAAAGAGCATAATGATCATGATTTTAAAGCCAAGGAAGTAAAAACATAAAATAAAAAATGATCTGACAATGCAATTGAACCTTTTGCTCTTTGCAAGAAAAGGACATCCACAACTTTCCAGACATTCCAATCAATGAGTTTATTTTCCCAAATCAATTCAAGAGAGTTACTGAAGTGATGAAAGAGTTGGAACTTTTGGTTTTCTCATTGTCGGTCAAAAAATTATCAACTTGAATGGATGCAAGTCCAAGATTTTGATATGAGCAATGCTAGGGACTCCAAAAAAACTACCAAAAAATTCTACACAATGCTCGCGTGTGTGGGACTCACATCATATGGCAGCCACACCCATGTGAGTATTGTGTAGAATTTTTTGTAGTTTTTTTTTTGGGTCTCTATCATTTTTGTTTTTATATCCCTATATTTCAATACAAAACTCGAGGTCAAGATATTTTGAATCTGAGGAATAACGATGTCAGGCATGGAAAGAATAAAAAGTGTGGATCTAGAATTTCACTAGTACACCTAGGGAAACCCAACAATTTCTAACGCTGTCAATGGAAACCCAACAATTTTGTCCAAACCTTAAACCTTCTCCAAAACTCACTCTGAGGCTTCTTCAATGATGCCAACTTTCCTCCCCTTGTGGATATTGGCCTTGCCTCTTCAATTCAAATGTAGCCCATCAGGCCTAGCTGCGGACAAGGCTCTCCTCCCATTCTCACAAAAACTCACGACCCACCTCCTTCACCTGCTGCAACCAACTACCCACACAAACCCCCCACTTCCTTCCCAACTTCCCCCTAACAAGCCCCTTGCTCTAGTTCACTCCTGCCCTCCTAACCAAATCCTAACCCTTCTATTTTGAGAGAATCCCCCACAACCCCAGCAGTCGTGAGTGCTAATGAAATTAACCAAAATAACTGGCACCTATGAACTTGAAGACAAAAATTATGCAATATTTCAGCCAAAATGTACAAAGCTATATCTCGAAATTATCAATTAATTTTTGATGAACAAAAACTAATGCTAAAAACCAAACATAAGTCATCTCGAACTACATAAAATCAATTTGAATTTAAGCTACCTGTGACCTTGTACAATGAGTCAAGAATTAGAAGTTAAACCATTAGTAATTCCAACAGCAAAATTTTACTTCAAATCCAATCCCAACATTGTACACAAAATAAAATGAAGACTTCTTCGAATCAATTTGCAGTATGAAAAGCACTTCATAGCATCAAAGAAAATAATTGCACACCTCAACAAGCTTCACGTAGAGAATCTTCAGTGTAGCTTCACCTCCTAATACCAATGCTGCATCAATTAAGAGATCCACAACATCTAGCAACATCACGGACTTTATTAGTGTTTGCAAAACGCTGAATGGACTGACTTCCCAAAATAAAATTAAAAATGAGCAAATCATAAAAGAATCATGATTCATGAAGATACTATCAATCACATAAAATGGGTAATGAAATACCAAAAAGCATAAAAGTATAGGGAGAAATCTCTTGATAAGGGATGAAGGTCAAAATCTTCTCACGATAATTGTTTGCAGATCAGATTTTTGCAGTGCGTGAACCAACAAGGAACTCAAAAACTTTGTTATATTAACATTAATATAGCTCAATAGTGAGATAAGTTGTTCACTTCTCTTCAGGTTCATTGCATAAAGGATTTGTGGTAACGCTTAGATCAGTACAGGATTATTGAACGGTGGATGCTTCTCTGAAGATTCACAAGAGTCAAATTTCTGTCAATTGGAACTCTCCTATAGGGTTCTCAAGCTTAAATCTGATGGGTTCCTCAGGGAAATTTGCACCAAACCTGTGTAGGAGGAAACTTTAAAGGCGAGTTTTACTTGCTCCAAACCATAGGCCTAGGAACAACTGAAAGCAGAGGTTGTTAGTATGCTTGAAAGTCCAACTGAAGCAGCTTTGAAGAGTCACTTTTTTCCTTCCCATGAACCACAAGTATGGGGGTCATTTTATCAGTTTTTCTTGGAGGATGAGGGAACTCCAATGGCACACCTTTCTTTGTCACATGGTCGATACATACTAAGTGGGAAATATTTACCTCAAACTTGTCTTATAATCCAAAGAAGAAATGGAAGAAACAGACAAAGAAGACCAAAGAAATTGATTGATTTAGAGAGAGAGAGAGAGAGAGAGAGAGAGAGAGAGAGAGAGAGACTGTCATATAATAGTTCACTTGGAAACCAGTATAAAATGGTCTCAAATCTACTTTATGCGATTAGTGCCAGAAACCTTCCCTCATGAAGAATATATCATTAAAATAAGACAATAAGTACCTTGTAGCTGATCAACTCAGCATTCCAGTGGAAGCATGTTAAGTAACTTAAGACCCTAACGGAAACATCGAATCTAACTTGAGAGACCAAAATGATGAGAAGAAAACCCCTTATTTTAACAAAATTGATTAATTTAATTGGTTAATTAATTCATCAATTAAGAAATATCAGACATTGACACGTGCCTTTGTATGGAATCTAAAAGAAAAACAACACTAAAATACTTCCGGAAACAGCATTCAACATAACTTCAAACAATGTGTAAGGAATGCTATACGCCAATCAGTAATTTACCCACTATCACACAGTTAATCAATACCATATCTAGTTTGTTTGAAATCCTTAAGGTCCTCCTTTGATAGGTCTGCATAATCGTGGGGATATTGGACTCTGAAGCTAACCAGCCGGCAGGAAAAAATAAACAAATAATTAAACCACAACTCTCCGGAATTCATTAGCACAATATCAGAATATTGCACATCCCAGTTGCCTCCGGTTAAGAAAGTTCTGTTCACTAAGAAATCCCACTAAACTTGGCAACTAAGAATATGAATTTAGTTCCACTTGTTCACAAAGAAAACCATCCCTGGCTAAAACCCATAGTGGCAATAATAAATATAGCAACAAAGAAGAAAATCCATGTTCTTACACTCTTCCAGATACCTGCATCTCCTCATGACAAACAAGAACAAAGAAAAAAGAAAAAAGGAAAAACGAAAGAAAGATGGATAACATTTCTTCCCACATTATCTAAAAAATTACCCATAAAAAATAATTTATTCCTATAACATCTGGACAACTCAAAATAAAATTTTTGGACCACTAAAACGATTTGTTTGGAAAAGACAACCACTGAACAGAGTTACATAACTATTCAAAAATTGTTTAAAGCCGATACTAACATTCAATGAACAAACTTGTAAGAAGACTCACCAGGGAAACAAGCGATTCATATGACGAACGGAAAACCAGCAGCCTCCTATTTCTCTCTGCTTCTTTTGATGCTTCATGACCAAATGGTATGTAGGAATCCCTGGGAGATTAGAAACATCATATCCAAAATTTGTCATTTAACACCTACTGAATTGAAAACTTCAGAAGGGCTTACCTTTCAATCAAGTTAATCTGAAGATTGTGCCAGAAGTTGAACGTCATAGAAGCAATATCACATTCAGGGTATAAAGCAACTTCCAACAAGGCATCCACTATCAACATTGATTCATCAGATCCTAAGAAAAATGTTGTTTTGACCAAAGAGGGAAGTACTTCAGAGACTGCAAAAGATTCAAAGTTCTACACAAAGGCAGGCTGAAGATGTATTGCAAAGTTGCAACTCATGTACTGCTAGTAATCTGGAGCACAGGGGCATCCTATAAATCTTGGAAAGAGGCTTAAATAAAAGGAGAAGACATACCACTTGCAATCAATTCAAGATATGAATCACCCATGTCAGCAAATAAACGAGCAATGGCTTTCACATCTTCCTCATCCTGAAAGTAAATATATAATGGAAAAATAAAAGCTTTTCATTATCGCTATTACCAGTATAATGTTTTGAATAAAAAACTTTTCTTTGTAATGATATCAGAAAATCAGTGACAAGACAAAACAATAATGAACATAAAATGGCGAACCCTTACAGGGATTGCTCCGTAGACAATTTTCTTAAAATTGCAACTATACCTTAATAATGTCCCAGTTTTATGAAGGCATTGACCTATATATAAATGCACCCGAGACTAATAAATAAGAAGTCTGGACAATTCTAACAAGATGGTGTGTCTGTGTCCGATACGTGTCCTACATCAACGCTTGTTGGACACTTCCTGACACAGACATGTCCGATTATTTTTTTTAAAACAATTTAGACTCGAACATCATACACTTGGGGAAAACACATGTTCATCGCTTAAACACACATGAAATAAAAAATATTTATAAAAAAAAAGAGTGTAAAAAAGTAATCTCATTAGCTGTCTATTATAGACACATGGATCTTGCTACATGGGATCAAATCCACAAAGGATTTCAATATCACAAGGTTTTCATGTCAAAACCAAGAGCAGAAAAGAACCAAAAGGGGAATGAAAGGGATTCTACTCTGTGTACTGTGGTTGACAAGAAGATACCCGATAAGTCATCTTTGGTCTCCACTCTAAACCTCTCTTTGATCTTTCTTCTATGTCTCCTCTTTCTATACGCTTTGTTTTCTGTCATTCTGTTCTCTCTCTGCTGTCACAGATAAATCAGAGATTTTTGGCCTCCTGATTGTTCAATTTATACTTTAATTTTAAAAAATATATATGGAAATAGCTGCCAGAGCTCCGTTGGATTTTCCGAAACGTGCCCTTGTGGCAAGGGAAACGGCAATAGTTTTGGGCTAAACATAACAAAATAACTTTGTGTAGGTCAAAACCCTGAAGTTTCAAGATTCTATACATGATTCGTGTTGGTTTCTGGGGAAACCGAAAAGTTTCGAGCGTTTCAATAGAAATGAAACGAAATTTCACTCTACCATGGTTCCAACTTTCACAATTTGCTGCCCAACCTACCATCCACAAATAGTAATAATAAACAAAAACAGAACTAATGGAATTAACCTGCATAACCTTATACAGTTTGAGGGAGAATGGAAGGGGCTCTCTCTACCGCTTTCACAGGAAGCTCTACTCATCCCTATGGTTGGCCAGCAAGCATCCAAGAATAAGGAAAAAGTACAGAACTCTATCAAAGCAATACCTTTGAAGAATCTCTAAGCCGCGACTTAAGGCTCATAACTTGAGGCACAATTACTTGAATTAAGGGCATCTGTGCAGAAACACCACCTGAGTTTCTTGCTGCTGTGTAGTGTATCAATTCAGAAATTACTGCAAAAAATATTGAAGGGAATAAACAATGCATTAGAAAGAAGATAAAAATTTCTTTTGTAACAGAATATTTGTCTAGTGCAGAAGAAATTAGAGCCACTCTTAACATTTAAAACACAAACTCTGGTACATAGAATATGAGTATCATGAAAATAACTACATAAAATCTGTCTACCATCAAGAAACCAGTAGGAATTGATCGTTACATAGGAAAGAGTGCTAAAACCACAATCTGCAGTTACTGGCATAAAGAAACTAACTTTGAAATGTTATGTGTATGCCTCACAAGCAATTAAAAAAAAAAAAATTAGACAATGCCGCCCAATTAGTACACATTAATGTGACACATTAATGCCTCACGAGCAATTCTAGAATAAAAAACATAACCAGAGTTCTCATACTCTATTGAGAAAGATGTAGCATGAAAATCACTTATAAAATGCTTAAGAATACCAACGGAAACAATAATGATAACAAAAATGCAACAAATTAGTTTGTAGCAATTATATTACCATTCACGGATGCCTCTGAAAGGATATCAGAATTCAGGCTGAAGAGAGCTGTTAGCACCAATGGGTGAGGAGCAAGTGTAGAAGCAGGGATCCTGAAATGAACAAATAATTAAATAAGTCCTGAGGAACCCTATTACATAGACTCGGGTACGGAAGTTATGCAAAATGAACATCAAAATCAGATAAGAATTTAGAAACTCTGTATCAAGATCCAGAAATACACGATCAGGAAGCAGTTGATTTATCACGAGAAACACACACACACACACATAGAGAGAGAGAGAGAGAGAGAGAGCAATCTCCATCCCAAGCTAGCATACACTTCTGAAATCTACCACTACTCTCAGATGTCGAGTTATCTAATTTTCTAATCCATTAAGAAAACCTTCTTCACCAACTTCGCAAAATGCACAAGCTACCAAAAAAAATCACTTGTGCCTAAAGAAGCTTTTCTATTTAAAATAAATAAAAATAAAAATTTCTACATTGAATTGAATTCCCGTGACTACAATATACAGTACATATAGAAATTACTATTTAAATAAACACAATCATAAATTTATATACATCCATATAGTATCTTGTTTGAGAATTGTCTATTTTAGTAGACTGTTTTGGTTTTTTACAAAAAGATGTGTGAAAAAGTAGAGAGAATGATGTGACAACTTGTAGTGGTTTTTTTGGATATTTTAGCCTATTGACATTTTCTTACATGGTTCCAAAATTCATGACATTCAGTACTGCTACTCAGCATACAAAAGAATATATAAATTTAGCACAAAATCTACTATATATGCTCTTTGTAAGAAACAATAATATAATAAAGAGAAGGGAAAAAAAAAAAGGAAAAGATATTCTACCATGACACCAAAAACAAGACCTAAAAAGAGACAACTGCTTCAGAAAAAGATAGAAGCAACAATAAAACATAAAACCCATTTAGGGTAAAAAATCCAATAATGCTTCAGTTGGAGAGAAGGGAAACGAGGCAGTGTAAAAGAGACCTCTAATTTCCTCTAAAGAAGAGCCATAGCAAGAATAATGCTTCTAAGTTATTGACACTCCCCATTTATATCAAGTGTGTTCCTGCCAACTGAACCATTTCTCCTTTCTACCTGGCAATTTTATTTTACAACCTAATCTTAAGAAAAGGGAAGAAAATAATAAAGAAAAAAATCAAAATGTTTCAACACATAGTAAAAATGTCCAACAAGCAATAACATTTTGAAACCACAAGCAGTTAAGAATTTTAAGTTTTAAGATCTCCAACCATATTTTTATTTAAAAACCAAAAACTTTGAAAATTGAACTCCCCTAAGAAATTCAATCCATTGCATTATTCACATATCTGTAACATCCCATCATTCCAACTTCTACTTACTTCTATTCTATCACACATAAGACCTAACAGCAATAGATGCACATCTCCTAGAATTAGTAAGGGCTAGAGACTAGTTTTTTTTTATTTATTCAGCAACAAAGACAACTTTAAGATTTGATCACAGAGGGGCAATGATCCAACAAATGCTTTGAAAGCTATGTTTCTTATGTAACATCTAAAAATCTATTCTCCCATTCCTTAGAAAGTCAAAAGTGTGATGCCCCGATTCTACACTATTGGTTGCAGTCAAGGAAGAGTCACTAATGAGTCTTATGGTCAATAACCAAGTAAGATCCCAGATCGCCGGAGGAGTCAAATTAGCCTCCCTTCTAAGTCCAGCTTTCTTAGGCAGCGCACTGCCTTTTTGACAGATCTTAGAAGGCATTGACACAAAGTCTCATAAGCAACGATAAGGTTCATACATAGAATATAATTACATAACAACCACAAATATACTTAATCCAAAAGATGGTTCCATTACATTACATCCCAAAAGAAAGCTTAAATCTTCACATGGGTCTTACAAATATCCAAAAAGAAACTTCTAATTTTTCTAGGATAGCCAAAAGTCTTCGAAGGTTTCAAGCTCGTCGTCTCCAGCTATGAGTTCCTCTTCGTCACCTAGCATGATACAAAGTAAGCTTTGAATGCCCAGTAAACACACACACACCCCGCCCTTTTTTCCAGTCCAATACACAATCACAATTATAACATCAAGTAGTAAAGCATGATACTCAAATGAATAAATAAAGGGTTAAGTTAGGAGTTAGCAAACTAGAAATCCCCCAAAGAGATTTCGTCCTCCCAACCACAAGAATCGGACGCGGATTATTCGGTATACCCCCTCTTTTGCTGCTTTATTGCAGAACTAACCTCGGATACCCTATGAAGCATAGACACGGCAAAATGGAAGCCGTGGCGGTGTCGGATACGGGGACACGCCGGGGACACGGGGACACGTCGGGGACACGTACGGGACACGGCATCGTCCCCTGCCGTGTCCGTGTCCCCATTTTTTAGAAATTGCCGTGTCCTGTGTCCGTGTCCGTGTCCGTATGCGTGTCCGTGTCCGTGCTTCATAGCGGATACCTACCAACGGTTATGTACCGCGTAGCGCCAACCGCAGGGCCTCAAAAGAGACAGTTAAATAGGGCCTTGCGCGAATCCCTCCTTACACCAAACCACCTAGGGTCCGAATACAACCGCTCTGTTCAAGGGTTCCGAAAACCACTTGCGCAAGACTTTAATCTTTCAAATAGGGAATGCATCCCAACAATCCATATATCACATATTCTCATCTTTTCATTACTCAAGGTTTTGAAAACCCAATACCCTCCCTATTAGGTTTCCCGTTGAATTAAATGTTTTAAATCACGATTAGTCCAACTTATAAGACAATAATATCCATGTAAGCATGCATTCTTAAGATGAGAAAGGTAAATAACATAACCACAACACATAATATCATGCCAAAATATGATCATAAGCTAATAAGCAATCTCATGAACTCAAGGGTATAAGACATCCACACATAACAAAATCTCCAGGTTTAGTATCGCATAAAGATTAAAATGAAAGGTCTATTTTAGATCCTTCACAGGACTAGGCCTTCCTATGGTTCGTAGGGAATTTGATCTAGTTTCTAGAACATTTTTCGGAAACGGGATTGCTTTTCCAGATTCTAAGTTATTCAGAAAATATTTCAACGCTGTCCAGATTCTGTCCAGATCCATCGGCTGTTACGAAAATTTGATTTTCTTGCAAACCGCTTAATGTTTTTCGATGAAACCAATTTTAGTTGAAACCTAACTCCTCAAAAAAGATTTTGACATGAAATAGAGCTCCAAAATAATTTTATACATTTTTCTAGAATTTTTGGAAGTGGGCTGCAAAAACAGATTCTAAGGTACCATGCCCAAAACAAGAAGTTTTATGAGATAAGGGTTCTACCAAGGGAAAGTTTTTGTTTCTTTTGTGAAGAAAACATGCTAACTAACATATATTTAACTCAGAAAATTTTCTTGAAAGAGTGCCCTTGGAAAGTTGAGAGATTGGCATTAAAAAAAGATGGTTTTGTGCCAAAATGGGAAAAATACAAGAGAGATGGAATCAATACTCAACCCTTAACATTTTTAACATAACAACTCATTAATAACAGATCTGAAAACATTATTTAGAACCCTTAGAGACATGCATTGAAAAAAGGAAAATGAAAGAGAAGGTTGTGTTTGTGGCTTACTTGCTACTTTGCACAAGAAGGCTCTCTTCTTCCTCCTTCTTCTCCTCTAGACTTCTCCCTCTTGCTCTCCTCCCTCTCTCTAGCCGAATGTGTGTGTGTGTGGGTGTGGTGTTTGTGCTTTGCCAAGCTAGGAGAGGCTGGTATATATAGGCAATTTTGATGTAAAATGTCCTAAAAGCCCATTAGTTGGAAATGGATGGAAACTTTAGGATTTGTTTGAAGTTTAAAGGAATAGAAGTGATTTGGGGGGGGGGGGGTTACTCAAGGATTAGGCAACACTTAGTTAAATTAGCATCCTAGGTCTAGGGTATTAGGTTTGTGGTTTTCTAGAATTTCATGATGATACACTTTGAAAATTGTCTCCTCACTTCCTCCTAGAAAGGCCGGCCATAGGGAAGAGTGAAGGGGCCATTTTTTATTAATTTAGGTCCTAGGGCACACTCCTCAAGGTGTATATATATATATATATCTTACATGATTAATGGTACTTCAAGGTACAAGGTATAAGTACTAGTTTTTGGATAAGTTTTGAATTTAAATAAGGAGGGAGGGCTTGGAGTTAAATACATGTAACTTATGTAGAATTAAATTAGGTTAGGGAACCTAATCCGACTAGGGTAATTCCCGTTTTGGTAAAAATAAAAATAGTAATGCTAACCGACAAGATTCGAATTAATTCAAGTAACCGAGGGGTTTTAAGAAAATAATTCAAACATTAAGGTTTTTAAAGTGAATACATATTTCAGGGACTTCACAAAAAGTGATCTCATATATACTGCACATTCAATTCTCCAATGTACTACACCAAGTTAAAGATGCTCTATTTGACTGGGCCTCAAAACTTAGGCCAAGTTTGGCAACATCAAAATAATCCATCTTTTTATCTTTTTTCCATCACATCACCTCTCTACTTTTCTGCACATCTTTTCGTAAAAAGACAAAAAGTGCACTTATTTAGGTCATCCCAAACAACCCCTTAATATGCTCAGAAGTCATAGCCTTCATGTTCCAGTAACACCCAACACCGACTGCTTGACTTCTTGTAAAAGCTTATGACACAGATGCCTCCACCATGCAGCATCTAAGCTGAATAATGCCATAAATAAATAAAAAATAAATTCCAACACGCATCCTGTGCTATATGTGCAACACAAAGCAGTTTCATGCTAGGTTGACTCGCAAGTGATAATGTTATTCTTGTTCAGGAACTCCTTAACAACAAGAGCAAAGTCATAACAAATGACTGAAAAACCAACATAACTGTTATCAAATCCTTCCATTTCTAAGAGAACCAAATTTCAAACAACTGAAATACACACCTATGCCTTAACCGAAGCCAAGAAGAAAATGCCTCAAGAGCCTGCCAGGTAAAAAAAGATGAGAAAGCTATATGAAAGTGATTCAGAAGCAAAAAAATAATATTTCAGAGGTCAAAGTCATCAAATTACATACCAAATCAAACCAAACTAAGGCTTGTCCTAATTAAATGGGGTTGACCACAAAAATCCTTTTTCACCATTCTGCTCTATCCAGGGCTATATGCTCTATTAAATTAAATAAATTCATATATGTTTTTACTATCACATCCCATGTTAGTTAGGTCTTCCTCACTCTCGAACATTTTCATTTATGATGATTATATCACTCTTCCTTACCATTACATCTAGAGGTCTTTGTTGTTACACATGACCAAACCATCTTATTCTATTTTCTCTCAACTTATCATCAATTAGAGCTACTCTTACTAGTTCACAAACATATTCATTTCTAATTCTATCTCACTTAATTTTACCACACATTCATCTAAACATTCCCATCGCATCTATCTACCTTATAGTTGTTCTTGTAAGTTTTCTGAATGTTTTTTTGTATATTCAGTTGTATTTGTAATACAAGAATACATTGGTTTATATAACAATGTAACCCTAGAACGAAAGAAGAAATACGAATTATTCACTCAATCCCTAATATATATGAAATATATATATACTACCATATACACATAAAATCTAATATTCTCACACCCCTGCTCAAACTCAAGGTGTTTTAGCAAAAAAAATGAGAGTTTGGCAAGAAAAAACTGAAACCGAGCAATGGTGTGAGTCTTGGTGAAAAAGTCAGCAAGTTGCAAAGCCGAAGAGACAAAATGAAATGAGATAGAGTCAAACTGTAAATGCTAACGGACAAAGTGACAATCAATCTCAATATGCTTCGTCTGCTCATGGAAGACAATGTTATGGGCAATCTGAATAGCACCGCGTTATTGCAATAAAGAGAGGTCAGAGAAGACTGAGGTACACCCAAATCAGAGAGGAGACAACGAAGCCAAACAATCTCAGCAGCAGCATGAGCCATAGCACGGTACTCAGCTTCAGCAGTAGAAAGAGCAACAACAGTTTATTTGTTGCTTTTCCAAAAGATTAATGAATCGCTAAGAAACATACAAAAACCAGACGAGGACTTGCGATTAGTGACATCACCAGCCCAATCAGAATTAACATAAGCCACCAATTCCAAAGAGGAAGTAAATGACAACAGCAAGTCCTGAAATATAGTACCTTGAAGATAGCAAAGAATCCGAATCAAAGCAACTCAATGTCTAGAACGAGGAGCATAAACAAACTGGCTAACCATATGAACAGCATAGGCAAGATCAAGGTACGTGACAGTTAGATAGACTAAGCAACCTACGAGCTCTTGATATAAAGTAGGATCATCCAGAAAGATACCATCAGTAGTGTTAAGCTTCACATTAAGCTCAATGGGGGTATCAGAAATCTTAGTGTCAGTAAGACCGTTATGGTGAATAACCTCATTTGCATACTTAGCCTGAGACAAAAAGTAGCTTTTAAGAGAAGAAGCTACCTCAATACCAAAAAAATACCTTAAGAGGCCCACATCTTCTATTTTGAAGGTGCGGAAGAAATGCTGCTTGACCTTAGAAATAGCAGAAGAGTCGGAGCCAGTGATGATTATATCATCCACACATAGTAACAGGGCAATAAAACCAGCAGATGTGTGAAGAAGAAACAGAGTAGAATCTTGAACACATGGACAAAACCCAAGCTGAATGATAGCGGCCTGAAAGCGATCATGCCAAGCACGAGGGAATTGCTTCAAACCACACAGAACACGCCGAAGACGACAAACCTATCCAGAGGAATAAGGAAGGAAGGGGGTAGGACGCAGGTAAACCTCCTCAGTGAGATGGCCATTAAGAAAAACGCTCTTGACATCCATCTGATAGAGAGGCCAATGACGAACAACAGCAACAGAAATCAAAGTATGAACAATAGTCACCTTGGCAATAGGGGCAAAGGTCTCCTCATAATCAATACCATACTCTTGGGAGAAACCTTTGGCAACTAAGCGAGCTTTGTAACGCTCAAGAGAACCATCAGAGTGAGTCTTGACTTTATAGACCTATTTGCAACCGCCTAGATTTTTGCCAGCAGGCAACAGAACTAACTCCTAAGTAGTAGTTTTCTACAAAGCAAATAGCTCATCCTCCATAGTTCAAACCCAATTAGGATCCTAACAGGACTCCTTGTAAGATTGGGGTTTTGAAAAAGAGTGAATAGCAGACAAAAAGGTACAGTATGAAGGAGAAAAACATGTTTTAGCAAAACCGAGCTTAACTACTTGTTTACGGATACGAAGAGGATACTTATGGTTAGCAAGATTAGAGTCATCAGAAGGAGGGGGGTCAGCAGTAGGAGTAGAGACAATTAATGGAGGAAGAGCTTTGCGACGAGAATAGACTAACAACGGAGGAGGAAAAGAAGCAAGTGGGGAAAGACGGGGAGGAGAAGAGGAAACAAATTCATGGGGGTTAGGCGAGAGAGACTCATCAGGTGGGGTGGGACAAGGAGAAGAGGGAACAAACTCATGGGGAACAGTAGAGATGTACTCATTAAGAGAGACCTTAGAAGGAAATTGATCAATATGAACCAAATCCTCTTCGGAAATTGGGACAGTGAAAGGAGGAAGTTGAAAGTAGGTAGATGTTCAAGAAAGGCAACACGGGGGGAGACATATAGGCGACGGGAAACAAGGTCATAACAGCGATAACCTTTTTGAGTGAGACTATAATCCAAAAAGACACACAAGATAGACTGGGGCACTCAATCTGGTCTTATCTTTATGGGGTAAAAGGATAAAACAAGCAGACCCAAACACAAGAAGGAGGGAGTAATTAGAAAGTTGAGAAAACAGAGCCTCATAAGTAGATTGACCAGAGAGAAGGGGAGTAGGCATACGGTTGAGACGAAAAGCAACAATAAGAACTACCTCACCCCAAAACGGAGCCGAAACAGAGGCAGAGAAAAGGAGAGACGTAGCTGTCTCAAGGAGATGACGATATTTACGTTTAGCGCGACCATTTTGGGCAGGTGTATCAGTACAAGAAGTCTGGTGAATGGTATCTAAATTGGCCAAATACTCACAAAACGCAGTTTTAAAATATTTCTCACCCAAGTCAGACCGTAATAATTTAATAGTAGATCCAAACTGTATAATGACCATAGACTGAAAGTTATGGTATATTTGGTAGAAGTTAGACCTATGTTACATGGACTCGGCACTTTGGGGTGAAGTACCCATATCGACACAACACGACACGACACGGGTGCGGGTGTGGGATCTGTGTCGGATTCGCTTGTTCTCTCTCGGACACAGCTCTTTACAGACAACAAAAGAAATGAAAGAGAGAGCAAGAGAGAACCTGGTTGAAGCTCCATCCAGTCGATCCAGTCGAAGCTCCATCCAATCGAAGATCGAAGACCTCCAGTCGAAGCTCCATCTGGTCAATCCAATCGAAAATCGAAGCTCCATCAGTCGATCGAACAGTCGAACACCCCAGACGACTTCAAAAAGCCTCTCTCCCTCTCTCTCTCTCTCTCTCGCGCGCCTTCTCTCTCTTCCTCACGATCGCGACCGATCGCTTCTCTTTTCTCTCCCCCTCTCTCTCTGTCGTCTCTGCTCTTGATTCATATCTATTTGTATCTATCTATATATAATAATAATAATAATAGTTAATAACTATTATTCTTAACAATAGTTAATAACTATTATATATTATATAATAATTATTATATAACATATAATATATTTATAAGATAATATATACTTATATATATATATTAATAAATAAATAAATACATGTATGTAAAATAAAATAAAATAAAATAAATTGGAACACATAACTATTATTTTTATTTGTTATTTATATAATATAACTCATCTTCATATAATAAATATATATATATATTTTTAAAACTATTTAACATATCTCCGTACCCATATCCAAATTTGGATACATATCCACTTATCCTTAATTTTTAATTTTGAAGTGTCCGACCCCTAGATATGCACCCGCACCCGATACCCGTACTCAAGTCCGTGTAACATAAGAGTCAGACTTATGAGTCATGAGATAAACTCAAGTATAACGATTGCAGTCATCAACAAATGACACATAATATGCAGAACCCCCTTTAGTGAGAACAGGAGAAGGACCCCAGATATCAGTAAACTAAAGAAAACGGTGTATCAGATATAGAAGTACTTTTACAGAAAGGTAAGGCTATTATTTTGGCAAGTTTACACCCCCAACACTCGTTAAGTTGACTAAGAAAAGCTTTACCCAATATACCTGACTGAGCTACAGACCGTAAACGGTCAGCAGACAAATGCCCTAATCTAGAATGTCATAAATAGAAAGGACTTAACAGAGAATCTAACTGAAAAGAGGAAAAGGCAGTCAGAAAGATAGTCATAGGTAGATGCAAACTCTCCACCACATAGAGGTCTCCAATTCTACGGCCAGTCCCAATCTGCCGCTTGGACATCCGATCCTGCACAGAACAAATAGAAGAAGAAGAAAAGATAGCATCAAAATTGGAGGCATCAAGTTGATTGATAGATAATAAATTGACAGATAACTGATAAACATATAAGACAAATGGAATAGAGACAGAAAATATAGCAGACAGTAGGACAGATCCAACAGATATAACAGACATACCAGACCCATTAGCAGCATTGACAGTAATAGGAAAGGGAGAAGGAGTACAATTTTGAAGTAACAAGAGATGAGGAGTCATATGATAAGAGGCATCAGAGTCAAAAATCCAGACAAACGAAAAGATACCCGAAGAAGACCTAAACAGACCTGAATGAAGAGAGGAAACAACTGAGGCAGACGGGGAGGGCTGGAAGGTAGACAATATATGCTGAAGTTGAGCAATCGGAGCACTCAAGGAAGCCAAGTCAGGATCAAGAACCGAAGTGGATGCAGTATAAGTAGCAGGAGCCTGAAAATTACTCAAAGGAGAAGGGCAAAACTAGGTTTGAGACTGCTGAGAAGATGAGGCAGACAGACATACCTTCTTGGGACAGTGATACTTCCAATAACCCTTTTGATGGCAAAAGGCACACTCATCTGAAGCTAGTGACCTATTTTCGGGTCTAATAATCTTATCATCTGACATTACTTGCAATTTATCATCAGTCATTGTGACAAATTCAGGACAAACACAAATATTATAAAGTGATATATTCCAATCAGCCCCAATAGACTAATATTCCCCAATACAGTAGTTAACAATTCTTCTGACTAGAACAAGACAAACTAGTGAACTATAAGCCAGAGGGTTGAAGCCAAAGAGAGAAAAGACAAACCAAACAAAGAGAACAACACAATTTGGGTGTCGTAGCCTGTGTGAGACACACAACCTAGGTCTCCGACTGAACCAGAGACTAGCGATGAAGGCTTCCTAGGGCTCCGACTGAACCAGAACCAGAACTAGTGTAACCAAGAAATGCGAATCAAACTGCTTCAAAGTGTAAAGAAGAGAACCCTAGCGAAGGCCTTGCAACGACATTGTGAAGAGAGAGAAAGGGCTGCGATGACCTTGCGAAGAGAGAGAAACAGCTGCAACGACCTTGCGAAGAGAAAGAGAAAGGGCTGTGATGACCTTACAAAGAGAAAGAAACAATTGCGACTACCTTGCAAAGAAAGAAAGGACTGCGATGGTCGATGATGACTTGCGATAGGGATTCTAGCATCCAGTCGTGGCTCTGATACCATGTAAGTTTTCTGAATGTTTTTCTGTATATTCAATTGTGTTTGTAATATAAGAATACATTGGTTTACATAACAATCTAACCCTAAAACAAAAAAGGAAACATGAATTATTCACTCAACCCCTAATATATACGAAATATATATACTACTATATATACATAAAAAAATCTAGGATAAATTACAAATACACCTCTTGAGGTTTGATTAAAATACGAATTGCCCTTATAATTTTGAAAATTACATTCCGCCCCCTGAGATTTTTAATTTCATAACAAATCACCCCTTTTATTAATGAATCATTAAATCAATTAACAGTTTTTAATGATGTTAAAAATATGTTTCAATTAATAATTTAGGTAATTTTATTATTTTATAGGAGAGCAATTATGAATTTCATTTTTTTAGTTAATTCTATTAAATAAAAAATTCTAACAATGAGGTATTTATAATTTTTCAAACTACAGGAGGCAATCTGTATTTTAAGCAAACCTCAGGGGTGTATTTGTAATTTACCCTAAAATCTAATATTCTCACAGTTCTATAAAATTTTCCTTTCAATTTTGTTGGCATTTATTGATCATATAATAGGTCAGACACACTCCTTCACTTAAGCCAACCTAATTCAATTCTATAAATCACATCATCACCAACCTCACAATCCTTTTTAATAATAGAACCTAGTTAATAAAAATATTCAATAAAAGTTCTCTAGTTTTCAATTTTCACTTCTCCATTATTTTTTCTTCTTCTTTTTTTTTTTTTTTTGGATCAACAACAAAAACTTTATTGACAATTCAAAAAAAGCGAGGATGAGGCATCCTCTTACAAAGGACAATGCTAATACATAAAATGAAACCCGTAACAAGCTAATCCCGAGCAAAAACCTACATATCACACACTGCCAACCAATCTCTAACTAACAAAAAAAGTGGGACTCCCTTAAATAAAGAGCTGCTCGACACCCAAAACGAAGTTAAGTGACGAACATTATCCCACAAACAACCCACCTCTCGGAACTTATCTTCAAACAACCTCACATTGTAGAGCACGATCGTCTGGTTCTAATACATCGCAGGGTGGGAATCGACTCCTCTCCTTAATCGCTGAGCATCTTCGAAGTCCCTCATCTCCTACTAACTCATAATTTGTAAACCGTTTGGCCAAAATAACCTGATCTCCCTGACTACACGAACCCAACCCCAAAACCTCCAGTGGGTTGGGAAGAAAAACCCTTAGGCCTTCAACAAAACTTGGGCCCCTCTCTTTATGAGTAATAGCATTAATTGGAGTCCCATTAAGGGCAGGACCCGTAACATTCTAAAGATGAATATCATTTGGGCAACAGTTCCAATCCACCACCATAGTTATTCTTACTTGAAACTATCAAATCTTGGGCTAAGCCCACTCCTTGGCCAGGCCCATTAATATTTAGTCCCCCAGACTGATTGCCTCACTACAATGCTCTTATTAAAGAAACATACTCTTTAAGCACCATAGTAATCAGCCTCCTCAATACTTTTTGCAAAAAACAGAGCCTTGTTTAATTGAAAAGGCCTTAGAACAATTGAAGCTTTAAACGATCGATTTAATTCCTTCTCAATCTGTGCCCACTCATTGAAGACGTCAATTCTGGTGCATACCACCACCTTGCGCATCTCCAAAACATAGTTATTGCCTCCCAAACTACCTGATTTAGACTTAAGCACATCAGCATATGAAACTCCTTTGTTTGCCCCTGTTTTTTGATAAGTAATCATGTTCACATATGTGTTTCCTCTACGAGTCCTTAATAAAACCTGTTTACTTTGATGTTGTCCTCCCTTGTCTTTAGTCCTTATCTCTCTTTCATCATCCTTAATCCTGAAGTCTCTATGGATAACTCGTTCAAGCATCTTGGCCATTAACATCCACCCCTGACCCTCAACCCTTGCTGGAATGATGATGTTACTTCTTTTGACCCCAACCTCCCATTTTGACATCTTAACAAAGACACCACTCTTGTTGCTGAATTTCTGAAGACAAAAAACTGCTGAACTACTTGTGTACTTTGTGAAAAAAGATCGATCACTGCGCTTACACCAAAACCTGTTGCAAAACTTGTACTGCCCAAGAGACACCCCCCAAATCCATCATATTGTAACTTCTAAGTCGATTACTCTCAATGATCTCCACTAAACCTCCTCTAGATTCATTATCCACCTGAATGATAATGAGCTTCTGGTCGATTCGTAACTCAGAAGCTCCCCCGCTATAGACTCTCAATCTCGCACTCTCACTCATTCTCTCTTTTAAGTGACTCTTGTATATCTTTTCTTTTGATCATAAAATTTACTTACCAAAGAAAATGAAAATTTTGAATTGCGAATTCTAACATTTTTTGGCCTATTGATGTAGCCATTTGGTCAAGTGCCGGGATTTGAAGAGGGAGATTTGAAGCTCTTCGGTATGATTATATGGGATTTTCACTCAGTCTATTATTTTTACTTCTACTATCATTAAAGTTACATTTCATACATTCAATTTTATTTATATTAATTTTAAACTTTACTGAGTAGGTGTTTGGCATGCACTAAAAAAGTGCACTTTTTTTGCATGCATATACTTATTTTGGTCACATCAATCAACATCTCCTCTTTACTTTTCTACTCACTTTCTCTACTTTTCTACATATTTTTTTTAATAAAAAGTCAAAAAGTGTACTTATTTAGAACATCTCAAACCATCCTTGACTCGAGTACGTCTCTCCATATTTCTAATTTAGTGTTATTCCTTCCCCAATTTCATCCACTAGAACCTATGTTACATAGACTTAGGTGTAGGTATCGGGTGTGGGTGCGTATTTAGGGGTCTGACACTTCAAAACTAAAAATTGAGGATACGTGGATATGGATCCAAATTTGGATACGGATACGGATACGGATACAGATACGAGGATGCGTTAAATAGTTATTTTTTAAATATATTTATTATATGAATATAAGTTGAATTATATTTATGTAATATTTAATTAATTAAATATATTTTTTAACAATGAACAGTAAATAAAAACTCATTCTAAATATATTAAAAAAATTAAATTAATAAATTCAAACATTATAATAATATTTTAATTCATTCTCATATTATTGAATCTTCAAAACACAGACCAATACAACTAATGGAGTGATATTCTTGAATTTGTAAAACACAGAGACTAATAAAGGTAGTGCATTGATATTTTTTAAAACACAAAGTTATATTATTTAAATAACATTTATTATATTTTAATTTAAAGTTACAATAAAAATTATATTTTATTTTAAGATAGAAAATGAGAGAGAGAGAGAACTAGAGACGATCGACAGACGAAGAGGGAAGATGATCAACAGACGAAGGAAGAAGATTGATTGGTAGACAAGGGAAGGTCGATCGACAGATGAATGGAAGAAGAGAGAGATTGAGATAGAGAGAAGAGAGTGAGATCATAGCTCTAATCGCAGATATGCCATCTTTCTTCTTAGTCTGTATGCCGTATCCACTGTCTCCATGCTATATCCTGGCCCGATTCCATACTTGTACCCGTGTCGTGTCGTGTCAACATAGGTACTTTGCCAAAATTGACGAGTCCATGTAACGTAGACTAGAACTATCTTCTGTGAACAACATACACTCTCTCCCACAATTTCATTGTATAACTCAATAATTTAAAGCCTATATAGTTGTTGCAATTTTTGATATCTTTTTTGTTTTTATATATAGGTCCCAAAATACTTTTTTCTCTACTTGTCAAGCATTTTTCTAGTGGCAAAATGAATGTAGGTATATAAAACATATACTCCAAGAAAAAACAGTGCTACATCTAGGCAAGCAATAAAAGAAGAGCTCCCACCTGCTCCTTAAGCTCATTAATATTCAGACAAGCAGTCAAGATATTAAGAGCAACCTCCATTGCAGAAGCAAGTTCTTTCTCAAATTGCCGTCGCCTATCAGGACGAGCTGCTATCTTGTAGTTGAATGTTTCCTGATAGTGAAATAAAAAAGTCGTTAGGAATTTGTAGTAAACTATAGAATCCAATCCACAATATGATTACTGTCAAATGGATTATGGACCTCAATAAATTCAGCAAATTAGCATCTCATCTTGAAGGAATCTTATGATAACCATTGTAATATGTAGGAGTAGGACGTATATATAATGGACAGAGTGTTGCAGTATGTACAAAATTTCACTGTTATCAAAAAATAATCCAGTACTTAAAATCTAAATTAGAGGCCTGAAAGGCGGTCCAGAACTTCGAGCATATTTAAAGGCCTGAAAGATGGTCCATAAATAAAAGCCTGAAGATAGTCAAGAACTTAATACTTACTACTGTCACCCACAATGCAATTTCTTATCAGTTGTCTTGAATCAAAACATGGATGATATAAATAGCATTCATCTCTGTTTTTTTAGCTAAATTAATTCAAAAGACAGTTAAAAGTCCTGAAAAGTTGTTTCATCATAGCCTAACTCGTTGCTCACAGCACATTCTCTCAACTCAAAGTTAATGCTTTTCCTACAAAAGGAATTATTTAATCCCCAATCAAATCTCCAAGTGCAGTAGTACCCCATAGAAATTCTACCTGGAGCCCAATGAGACAATTCTTTCAAATTTTAATGATCTCATCAACAGATAAATAAATTGCAAATTAGATAATTCTTCTAAATATAACTAGATTTGTGTATACCTCAGGCAAAACTCTGAGCAGCTCAAGGAAACTTGGTATGCATTCGGGATGAGAATTCATCTCATCTCTAAGCCAATTTACAATACCGCCATCACCCCAATCTTTTGCAGGGACATGAACAGCCAATGCAGCCACCGCAAGGCTAATCTACAAAGTGCCAAATTTATCAGGATATTCTCTTTGTATTGTACCTTCCATGTTGTGTGCGTGTGCCCAAGGGTGCATGTGATTGCATGGAGAAAACTATAATACCTGGGTTCTAACTTTAGGAGGGCCTTTATGAAATGTTTTCAATAAGCTCTGCATTTAAAACCACCATGCATTGAAATCCAGCAATCAGTACAAGGAAAAGTTTTGCATCACATACATCAATGAATGTATGCATGCATTTGAAAAAAAGAAAACAAGTTTCCAGGCGCTAAACAGAAGACAGCAGCAGATAAACAAAAACTCATCTGACGTTAAGAGGAGTGGAAAATTAGGGGAAGAAGAGGTGGGGGTTGAACTTATTTTCATGGAAGTACTTTCCAAAAAAGATATGCACCACCACAAAAGAACACAAATGATTTCCATACACAAGACTGAACAGCAGTGTCTTGTATCTTTTCAGATAGCAAAACCTTGCTCATTACATAAGGATTTAAAATACAAACTGCCCTTGCCTCACTGTCACCTGTAATCCTCGCACTTTTTTATAGTTGTTGTGAGTGAATACTACTATCGATTAATCAAAAAAGAAAAGGATGGAAGCATATGCTTAGTTTATTAAAGGATCTATGTAAAACATCACTTTCAGTACCCATCAACAATGGGATGCATTTTCCTGTTCAATTAGCAAACATGTTAGTTTCTAAGGATCCCCAGATAAACAATAAGATTATATAGTGAAATGGCAATACCAACAAGTCTATAAGTTATTTCAATTCTGAACCAGAGCCTCCTAGAATTGTAATAGTGTAAATACTCACATTTAAAGAATCCCGTAATGGGCGAAAAGCTTCAGAAGGCAGCTCTTCAAAATCTCGTTGTACCTATCAATTAGATGCAAAATGCACTGTGTGAAAAGAAAGGCTGCTTTGATATTCAACAACCAAAATTAAAATTAACAAATGCAAATGAAAACACATAATCACAGGTCAATATCATAACACAACAGTAAAATTTGGTATCTGTGCACAGATAATGAAGAAGAGGATACCTTGCTTCTGAGGGTTTGAGAACAAAAGATTAAGGTTTCCTGATTGCTACTAGCATCATGAAGTAAATTATCAGAGACCTAAACAAGCAATAACATATTAGTAAACCTCATCAAATGGAAAATGGGGAGAAGATCAAAGAAAAGAGAAACACAGTCAGAACTAACTTGACAAGAACAAATCAAGTACTACAATAAAATAATGTATCAAGTAAGCACATCCAATGGTTCATATATTAGAATACAAACCAAAGCACAAAGAAAGATATGCATATTAAAAAAGAAGATCCAGCCAATCTCATCAATGTTGAACCAACCACATGTCGGCCACACACTGACCAAAAGGTATTTTTGAAGGATTTAAGCGTAAAGAAAAAAATCAGCTGAAAAAAAAAAGATCTTTGCAAATTGACAGATTGGACATTCAAGAAGTAGCATGCAGTTGACGTTGACTTCAACTATAGAGAACAAAAGAATTTATTTACTCTCTGATGCATAAAAAGAGCCCATTATCCAGTGTGGCTCCATTAGAGTGGTTCGCAGGCAGGGCTGGACCGGACATAATCGTAACTTTCAGCATTATTTCCACAAAATGGGTACTCTCAAACTCAGACCCGCATTCCCATGCTTGGCATCCTATAGTTCCATTATGAAAGGTGTATAGCCACTTCTCATACCAAATCTATTGTTGTTAAATTCCGTTACAACCATTACCTAGTTCACACAAAGTGAGCAAGGTCCCAATGAAAAGCAAATTTCCGTGCCTATTCTCTACAGCTCATTATACCAAAGAAAGCTTAGACGATAGAAGAGTTTACTTACTCCAGTTTGTTTTTACTGTCAGTCCAGCAATAAAAAGTAACTTGATACTCTTAATTTGCTGCCAACGCGACAAGAGTGCAATTCAGGATCAGATAACTTGAGATCAGCACACTCAAGCTCAACAGCTTGGCTTGTCTAGATTCTCCCAAGTGTTTTAGATCTCATCAAGATCTTAGAGATCTTGACTAGAATCTCAAATATTGAAGGACCTGGAGCTAAAATCAGAGGAGATGCGCTGACCCTGTTGGTCTCAACTAGCCTCCTCTTTTTTTATTTAATTAGCTAAGTCTCCTCGTCTGACATGAGAAATGCTCAAGGTTGAAATTGTCAATTCTTTTGTGTTCTTCTTTGATGTATTTTTCATCCATTCCATATTTCTATGATCCATAAGCAGTAAGCCACCCAAGCATTGATCGCCTTTTGATCACAGAAAGATTGGATAATATACAATGCATACGCACGAGTTTCATTTTGAAGTTGTCATTTTAGATATAGATTCATGGAAATTGAATTACCACCCAACCAACCAACTTGACCTCTAATGTTTCATTCTTTTGGTTCTATCCACATAGGCTTACTCATAACTTATAGTTACAATTGTCTCCATTCAATAGTATTTTTCTCAATTCATCGTCTTTGTTGACAAACAAGGATGAGATTGTCAACTAATGCTCCACAAAAACCACTCAAATAAATCATAACTAGGCCATTGGTTCTGGATATATATATATATATAAAGACCTAATGCAAGAGGCTCCTGCTATATACAGCCTTACTCTCATTTCCATAGAGGTTTTTTCCATGACTCAAGCCCACACCACCAGGGATGCTAACGGTAAGCTATATACAAATGATGACCTCGTTGCTTAGCGCATAATAGAAAGTTAATGGACCTTGAAAAGGAGGTATATTATCAGATGGGTGCTCTTTGTGGCTAATGCATAAGCTAATGAAATAGTCATTCCCCATTGACTTCAGAAGACACTAAGTACCTAAAACATGGAGAGAAACATAATATTGGTGAGAACTTCCAAAGTCTTAAAAACTGCATTAAGTCACCTTGTCTAGCATTGGCTTGTCTAATATAATCCATTCACAAAATCTACAGTTTATCTGATTAATCATCATGCTCCACCAATATTAACGAATTAACTTTTCTGGACAAATATTATCGAAATGAGTCAAACAATCTCTATATGAAGCCAGCAATATGCCAACTCTCTACCTGGTCAGTTGGAAATAACTCTTAATTTTGAGATGCTTCGATTTCCAAAAGGAACCCAAAAAAATATGGGTAAATAAGGAAAGCAAAAATCTCCTAAGCTAAGCAATTAAATATTTGCATTATTCCCAGACAAATGGTGATTTTCACCAACTGTAACGGTCAAAATTTTATTTTCTTTTCTTTTCCAGCATTTTCCGGGAAACCCAGAATACCCAGTACAGGTCTGACCAATGTGGGGTGCCAACAGGGGATAGATGGGCAAAAACCTAACCTCAAGCAAAATTCACAAAAGTAGCTGGAGATTTGAACTGAACTCGTAGTAATTCTTAGTTAGATATATGCAGAACTCAAAAGAAGCCCACAATTTGAATTCAACCCACAAATTCGTTCCACTGGACCCACAAACCCACATCGATTGATGAGAGAAAGAGCAAGAGGATTACCTGCCAAGCATCGAGGATGCGTTGGAAGTCTTGAAGCCAGCGATCGGCTTGCATGCAAACGGAGACGTCTGGGTGGTGGTAGAGTGCGTTTAGGGCTTCTTTAACAGTGTTCTGGTTCTGGAGCTCCATCGCCCAAACACACACAGAGAATCTAAAATCTCTATCTATTGTGTAGATTACATATATATATATATATATATAAACAGATTGCATCTACATATAGCAGCACATCATGATGTGATTATATGAAGAACACGAGTTGGACAAGTAAAAGTAGTACAAGTGTGTAGTGCTTTTGCTTTGTGCTGATCCATATACAAATTTCACTATACAAATTTACTATAAAAATAATGGGGTAAATTACCAATACCTTCTTCAAAAATTTGTTTAAAATACAGATTATTTTTTATAATTTAAAAAATTATAATTATTTTTTTGTCAAATTTTTTTATTTAACAAAATTAATTAAAAAATAAAATTTATAATTATTTTCCTATACAATAATAAAATTAACTAAATAATTAATTGAAATATATTTCTAATATTATTAAAAACTATTAATTTACTTTATAATTTATTAATAAATTGACAATTTGTTATGAAATTAGACATCTTAAGGAGTGGAATATAATTTTTAAAATTACAAGAGATGATTCATATTTTAATCAAATTTCAGAAATATAATTGTAATTTATTCAAAATAATTTGTTACTATCATTTAGAATATGAAGTTATCTAGGCCTAGGACTATAGTACACGAAAATTTATTGGTTGATTCAAGGCGACACGTGATTATACCTTTCATCAATCACAATTCATCACATTTTTCATATTTTTTAATTATTCAACACAAATTCATGCTTCTACGAATCACAATACCGCTAGAGCACCACTTGATGGTGCTCCAAGACCAACCAATAACTTCTCACAGTATACACTCTTCGAAGGCGTGCATCATTTTCATCTTATAAGTAAAGAAAAAATTATATAATTTCATATTTTTTGAGTCATAACTAAAATTAAAAATTCAAAAAAAAAAAAGAAGAAAAAAAGTCAACTCTAAACACTACATGAGATATAACAAAATATCTCACTAATTCTAACTAAAATAATGTCATAATTAAAAAAAAAAATTATCATAATTAAAAAATAAAATAACATAATTAAAGTCTACTCCTTTCAAAGGGATGTGTATAATAAAATTCCTTTTGTTTTTACCATATCATTATGTATAGAACTTTTATAGTATATATTTTTTGTTTGTACATGACCAAAATATATTTTTTATTACAATTTTATACCAAATCTTTTAATTGTATAATTTTATTTCTTAAAATGTGTGAGTTATTAAACTTTATCCACTCACATTATCATTGTTCAAAATTAATAATAACATGAAAAATATTGTGTAACTTCTCAATCAGATCATAATGGGAGCTACTAATAATCCCAATCTATTTACTTTAGCCATCACTATTATTTTATTTTTTTGTACTAATTTTAGCTTAACGTAAAAATTTCAATCCTATCTCACCTTAGCAACTCTACATACTCTTGTCGGCCATCTCCAATCCTTTCTCCATACTCACTTACTTTGTCTCTTTCATTTCTGACGCCTTTATCGTCATTTGTTGTTTTGAGCTATAGCTCGTTACCCATCTCATTCCTATTTCTTCTTACTCTTTTTCATTGTGAACTAAACCAAATCTAGATCTAGAGATTTTAGATTTAGGATTTGCAATAGAGAAAAGAAAAAAAGAATGAAAAAAAAAGAGAGTTAGGGTGGTAGCAATGAATAGTAATATGGAAATGGACTAAGGGTTGTAAGGGAGATGGAAAGAGGCTAGAGAGGGGTTGTAGTATGAATGGAGGTCTGGAAGGATCACGGAAGGGAGCGGTGAGCTTGGGAATGTGGGGTTGGGGGTGCAGAGGGAGGTTGCAATGGTGAGGGTCCAGAGGATAGATTTGGGATTGTAGTGAGTGCTCCAAAATAAAAATAAAAATAAATTGGATGGAACATTTTTTACTGTGTTAAAAAATAATTATAAATAGATGATTTGGAATATTTTTTGGACAAAACTACCCTTCTTTTTTTTCTTTTATTATTATCTCTTTGGTTATACAAGTAACCATTGTATATATTTTTTCGTCATCTCCAACTGTTTCTATGTCATCCCAAGGCCGTCTTACATCATTTTTTGCCTTCTCTGTCCCTTTTATACTATTTTCCACTAGTTCCACCACCTCCATCACTCTAACCCCTTTCTGCCCCACTCAACAACATTTGTCCGCTCAACCCTTGGCCACTTTGTCATCACAAATCTTCCAATCTTACCGCCAAACCAAATTTAGTGCAAGTGTCACTTGTGCATGAGTACAAATGCAATATGAAAAGTGCAATATTCGTTTTTATTTAGGGATGGATGAGGAATCTTAATTTTGAAACTTTAGATATAGAAGTTAATATTTTGATATGCCTTTAAATAAGACGATTGTGTGAGTTAGTTGGAATGTGGGCGATAGACCGTTAATTCAGGTAATGCCCCCTAAGGACTTGTATCTTTGAACCAAAAGTTCAAATCTTTCCTATGTTTGGCCAAATCAACACCACCACCCAAACCATCAAAGCTTTGAATTGTGCCATTTCTCTCTCTCTCTCTCTCTCTCTTTTCCTAATACACACAGATATAGAGAGATAAAGAGGAAGGGAAAGGGAAAGAAAGAGAAAGAGAGAGAGGTCATGATCAAGGTCTGGTTTTTCCCACCAAGGTCTTGATCTGTCTCGTCATCACCAAATCCATTTTGATCTCAATCTTTTCCAATTCCAATCAACGCCCACTTTGATTTTCACAATTATATAACCAAGAACCCATCAATATTTTTAGTATTTTGATTTGGGTTTTCATTTTTCTTTTCTTTCTTTTTCGTTTCTTTCCTTGGCTAGATGTTATAATGGCTTCGCGACCATTCAGGCATTTCGTTGAACAAGAATTGGGCAAATTCCCACACTTTGTGATATATGCAATTCTTGAATGGATACTGATAATTTTTCTATTCATTGATGGCTTTCTTGCTTTTATTTCCAATGAATTCGCCAAGGTCTTTGAATTAAAGATTCCCTGTTTGCTCTGCACGAGGATTGACCACATTCTTGTCCACAAAAACTCTAATTCTTGCTACAATGACTCCATTTGTGAGATTCACAAGAGGGATATCTCGTCCCTCGCCTACTGTCACGTGCACCGGAAGCTCTCTGACATCCGAGGAATGTGTGAGGGGTGCCTCCTCTCATTTGCAACCGAGAAAGAATCTGATACAGACACCTACAAGTCCCTAGCTGGGGTTCTACACAAGGATATAGATAATTTTGCTGAGGATGATCAGAGGGTTGGTTTGAAATATCAAGCAGGAAAGAGAGATGATGTGGTGAGAGTTGAGAAGAGTGAATTTCAACCATGTTCTTGTTGTGGAGAGGCCTTGAAGATGAGGCCTTCTTCGAAGACTATGACTCGGAGTTCTTCAATCAATGCAAGGCTTCTTTCACAAGTGCCTGCACCATCTCCACGTGCACCGATGGTGACATGGAAGAACGAGGACTCGCGCAACTTGGAGTTGCCTCATATTCGTTTAATGGCGCTCAAGTTTATGTCGGAAAATGAATCAGAGCTTCCAGAGGATGAGTTTGGCTCTAATCTAGATCAATGTGAGTATTATGTTGCAAGATATTCTTCTTTTTCTTTAATCTTTACTATCTTCTTCCTGTAATGAACAAGATAATAAACTCTTAATTATTCATCTTTTAGGCTGTATTCAGATCTTGGGTTTTTGGAGTGATTTGTGGAGGGAAAAGAAAAGGAGGGGGGAAAGAGAAATGAAGCACTTGTCCCTTTCATTTTCTTGTCTTAAAAGATTCAAAAACCAAACGCAACCTTAATCAAAGAGTATGTTAACCCAGGTTGCCATTTCTAACCCAGAACAAGTTTTGCTCATTGGATTTCATGTATTAACTAGTTAAAATTGTTGAGCAGTTTGTGCAAATAGGTTCAATCCCAATCCATTTTTTACTAAAGTAGCTGTCAAAATGCAACAGATGACAAGAACAAGTATTATAGGAAAGAATCAGAGCGATACCATCAACAAAATAATGAACTATATGTATAGCCTATAGGTAATATTACCGTCACAACATGATTTTTTTTTCTCTCAACAATTAATGAATAATGAGAAATTGTTTTGTTTCCACGCCTATATATTCATTTCAACAGGGAAAAAAATTGGAAAATGTTTTTTGTATTTTCTAAGGTTTGGTGCAATGAAAATTGAAATGCAATGGAAAACATTTTTCGTGATCAATGGAAAACCAACTTATTTGGGCGCAAAATATTTTCCACTTTTGAAAGGTGGAAAATGTGTTTTTTGCTTGTTTCAATAGAAAATATTTTTTGGAAAACTTTATTTATATTTTCTAGCATTTGGTACGATGAAAAACAAAAGCCAATGGAAAATATTTTCCGTGGTCAACGGAAAACAAACTTATCTAGGTAGAAAACATTTTCTATTTTTGAAAGGCAGAAAATTTTTCAAACTAAAATCTTACCAGTGCAATCACACCACCGCCTCATCACAACCACCACCACAGTACAACCACTAGTGCATTAGATTCAAGGTCGCAACTATGAAAACTTTTTTATGGCGAAATATTTGTGGGAAAATGTTTTTAGCCGAAAGAAATGGGGGTCCCAAGTTCTTTTCTTATATTTGTATCTATTGCATTGCTTATGAATACCAGGGCATTGAATAAATTTTTGACTCTGAGTATGTCATTGTTATGCCTTTGATTTTTGTTTTGATATTGTCTAGCTTGTAGAGAAGGCAACAAAAATGAAGATATAATTGAAGAACCTAAGACCCCAAGTTTCATGAGAGGAAACAGATTTTTTGGAATCCCACTTACAGATTCAGCATCAGCCAGTCCTAGGTTTGCTTCAAGGCTTACTAAGAAGCTGCAACTCGAGAAGTCAGAGTTCTTTTCAGAGCCTAATGACATGAACGCCATGAACGAAGCAGAAGGTGACTCAATCTTGCATCGATTGAAGAGACAAGTTCGATTGGATCACAAGTCACTGATAGCATTGTACATGGAATTGGACGAAGAACGAGCTGCTTCTGCTGTTGCAGCAAACAACGCGATGGCCATGATCACGCGGTTGCAAGCAGAGAAAGCTTCCGTTCAAATGGAAGCGTTGCAGTATCAGAGGATGATGGAGGAGCAAGCTGAGTACGATCAAGAAGCACTTCAAGTGCTGAAGGATTCGCTTGTCAAGAGAGAGGACGAGATTAAGGTTTTAGAGGCTGAACTCGAGACCTATAGAGAAAAATATGGTTACATAAATAGAGTGAGTAGTGATGAGTGTGATGTTGATGCTGATGAAGATTACCAAGTGTTCAAATCGCAATCTTTCTCATCTGTGAGCGAGAAGTCTGATCGTGGTGTGGATCATGATGGAGAAAACAAGCATAATCTTACACCTTCCAGGCTTTTTCAAGAAGAAAGCGGAGAGAGGAGCCTTGATGAATCATCCCTAGATTTTGAAGGCGAGAGGGATTATCTTTTGGGTATGTTGAAAAACTTGGAGGAGAAAATCAATGAGTCGCCTGGCTCTGACACGGTAAATCATGAAGATGAACATACAGGTACTAACTAGCACTCTTCACATTTTCTTCTTTCTTTCTCTGTTTTGTAAGTTTTTGACCACAAAAATGGATTGTGTTGTGTTGCTTTAGGGAGTGAAAATAAGGCGATCCTTACGAGAGAAGTGTCGCTTATAAGGAAGAGACTGAGAGCAATCGAAGCAGATAGTGGTTTCTTAAAGCATGCGGCTACGACACTCCAGAAGGGCGATGAAGGAACGAAGCTTTTAACAGAGATAGCTCTTCATCTCCGGAAGATTAGACACTCGTTGAAACTGCCCTCGGAGGATATAGATGCATGACTCTCTGTCCTAATTTCTTTGAAGGTACTTGCCATTGTTGTGTTGTGCTTCTCACAATTGTTGTAACTTAATCTAAGAGGCAGATAACAGATGATGTAGTTAGGCATTTTGTGATTTTGTTTACATCACATACAATTTGCATATATAAGGCTAAAAAAAATTGAAATGTCTTAGTAGTATGTGAGAAATCAAATAATCAATACATTTTGATGTTCAGTAATTGCCCTTATCATCTCTCTCGAGTCTAGATTGAGGGCTCAAACACTGATCACTTCACAAAACACATATGCTTGACCTTTCTTGATTGTTTTTTGTTTTTTGTTTTTTGTTTTTTGTTTTTTTTTTTTGTTTTTGTTTTTTGGGTGACTCACCATCGGCCTTACAATTTAGCTAATGGAGATATTAACTCTTCTAAGAACGTGAGGGCACCCTCACCTTAATAGCTAGTTTTTGGGGTGAGTTCTACCCAAAACCGTGTAACATGGTATCAGAGTCAAAGTACTCAAGGATAGATAGAGTGCGTGTCCCTGGCCTACACGCCGCAGGTGCTGCCGAGTGAGCGCGCTGGGCGTGACGGAGGGTATGAAGCGAAGTCCCACATCGCCTGAGTACTAAAGTAATATTAAGCATATAAGCGTGAGGGCACCCTCACCTTAATAGCTAACTTTTGGGGTGAGTTTTACCCAAGACCGTGAGCTAGCTTTTAGGGTGAGTTCTACCCAAAACCGTGTAACATGGTATCAGGGCCAGAGTACTCAAGGATGGGTAGGGTGCGTGTCCTTGGCCTACACGCTGCAGGTGCTGCCGAGTGAGCACGCTGAGCGTGAGGGAGGGTGTGAAGCGAAATCCCACATCGCCTGAGTACTAAAGTAATATTAAGCATATAAGCGTGAGGACACCCTCACCTTAATAGCTAGCTTTTGGGGTGAGTTCTACCCAAGACCGTGTAACACCAATAACGGGGTAAACCATGTTAAACTATGACCTATCAATATCCGAATGGAACAGATTTGAACTTCTCCTAGAATAGTCTCTGGTGCGAAATGAAATTCATAGGATATCCACGTATCAATCAATGAAGTGGTTTTTCTGCGCACTCTTTTTTACTTCAAAAACCATGCAAAATGCCCTTTTAGGCCCAAAAATAAATAAATAAATGACAGTTTTTTTTAGTAGTTTGTCAAACGTATCAGTGTTTTTACCAAATGTTTGTGTTTTTTCAAAAAAGTAAAAAAAAAAAAAAAAAAAAAATCTTGATAATTTGAAGCATGAATTGATGATTAAAACCCTAGAAGAGATCATTGCATAATTTTATTTGCTTTTTTACACCTTTTCATTGTCACTTTCAAACCACACTTTCATGTTCAATTACCTAGTGAGCATGCCAAGTAAATCAGAATTCAGTTATCAATGTAATGATCATTTCACAAAATGTGTATGCTAATGCAATTTGGGTGGGCTTAACATGAGCAACTCGAGCCCAACCTGAAATTTTTTTAGGACTTGAGTAAGATATTTTTCAATTCAGTCAATTCAGTATGCTCTTGAATAAACATTCAGAAGTCATAATTAAATCTAGGTGGGTTTTGGTAAAGACATCAAATAATCCAAACAATCCAAAACTCGAATTATATATATACATATATAAAAATATTAAATATATATATATATATAAATTATTAGTCATTACATGATATTAAAGTAATTTAGATCATTAAATCATAATGAATATATATTATATACATAAGTAATAAAATACAAAATCTTATCTTTTGTATTCTCACTCATAAATTATAAAGATTACCAATTATTTGTTTTGATGTTATTAATATTTTTTATAAAACAATAATGTAAATAGAGTCTAATTTTAACAAAGTAATAATTTAGCAAAAAAAAAACTAAAAATTATGTGTAATTCCGGCAATTCGGATTTGAATCGGGTTAGGTTTGGACAGATAATCTCAGGTTACAATTCGCACTTGGGCGGGCTTGGGAAAGTCTCAATACAACTTAGGTTGGGCTTAAACAAACTCTCAATCCACCCGAGTTGCACCACCACCATGCTTGACCTTTCTTGATTTTTTTTTTTTTTTTGCGACTCACCAATCGTTTGACAGAATATTACATTCCATTATATATTTTTCTGTGAACATACCAATTGTAAACCAGCATTCAGTGATTTATGTAATCAAATTTGCTTTTGCAGATTTTTTTTTTTTTTTTTTTTTTTTTTATTAGGATGTATATACATGTTCCCCGTGTTGGAAGAAAGAGCACTGAAGTCCTGGTTTTGAAGATTCATGGAGCTTTCGATTCTCACTTTCCTTGTCCCCTTTGGTAATACTCTTCTATATATTTTTGATGTGTTACATATCGGTTACACACCCTTGGACTAACCATCACCTATTCCTTTGTCAACTTCATGCCTGACCGGCTTTTCTGCAGGCAAAAATGGCATTCAAAGTCTACTGGCTGTTGACATCTCTGGTAAGCTTTGCACGTACAATGGAACCAAATTATTTATCAGTTGCAAGCGCTAAATTGGTTTTATGTGAGGCAATTTGTTGGCCAAAATTGCAGAAGAAAGGAGAGCATGTAAACTTCATGGTTCATGATTGAATTTTAAAAAAAAAAACACGCACACACACAGTTTTATCCTTGTAAGTTTGTACAAACTAAAAGATGAGTTTTTTATTTTTACAATTTCACTTTTAAAAATTGTTGTCAATTTCAATGGTTGGTTCATTTTTATTAATTGAAATTCATGGAATAAAAAATATGCAAATCTCATGGTGCTCTCTCTTGCTTTTACCAACTTAATGTTAATAGGAAGTTTGAGCTTAATTAGATAAGATTGCAACTATCTATTATATTATAACCACCCAACATCAACCCCATCATGCACTTGACCACATCGGATGCGACTTGCCTCTCAATTCTGTCTCACTTAGTCCTCATCACCAACAAACATGGCCACTACACTAGCTTGTTGCGTCCAGCTAGATTACCTAAACATAATTGTTTATCGAGAGAAAGTCTCAAGAAAGGGAGGCTAATGGAATATTTCGGAAGCTTTTGGAAGACTTGAGAAAATCTGAAAATATGATACATAATTTTATAATGTACATGGAATGATCTAGAATAGGTTTTAAAGCATTTAAGTGAAGATTGGAAGAATGAGAGCAATAGAAGCTTCTATAACCTCCTAGAGAAATGAAAGTGGTAAAGGACTCTAGTATATTATTCTAGAATGAGATAGATATTCGTATAAATATTTTTAGGGGATACTAATCCCCTCTTGTAGGATAAGGAAGCTTTTCTATAACTCCTTTCTAGTATGTTTTGGAATATTTTAGAGAAAGCCTAAGATGCCTAAAAATAGGAGCGTAGCTCATTTGCTCCCAAACCATCCAAGAACTCTCTTTGTCTTCTTACTTCTGTTTCTTGCAAACCTGCGAGTCAGGCTAACTTAACATCCTCAAATAAGATTTGTGATTGTTTGAGTGCCGCATGAATAGTTTAGAAATAACAAGACCATGACAAACCGCTTCCTTCTCATTTCCATTCATCTTCACCACTTTCCCCCTTTCACTAGCCAGTACCGCCCACTTCATCCTCTACCCTTCCACCACCACCATTCCTCTCCTACCCCATGTGAAGGATTGGCTTAACAATAAGGTACTTTCTTACCAAAATGGGATACTCGATTCGAGCAAGGATCCTCTAGAATTTTTTTTCTCCTAAAGTTTTTTAGAGTGATGTGTTGTATGGTTAAGATTTAATGACAAGTCACATCAATTTTTAGTATTAAATCTCACCCATACAACACACCACTTTAGGAAACTTTAGAAAAAAAAAACTCTAGAGGATCCTTGGTGGCAATCCTTAGTTCACGTTGATTTTTGCCTATACTTTCTATTTCGTTAGATTTTGCCTTAATTTTAATTTTAATATACACTTGTACTTGCCTTAATTTCTATTTCTATATTCTCATTTTTGCCTTTACCTTCTATTTCGTTAGATTTTGCCTTAATTTCTATTTCTACATTCTCCTTGTACCTTAATTTCTATTTCAATATTCTCCTTGTACCAATAAAACTGACGTGTACTAAAATCGTGGATTAAGGTTATGGGCTTTGATCTGTTCTAAAAAAAAAGAAAGAAGGTTATGGGCTTTGATGAATCTATCTTCCACAATATCTATAGGTTATCTACCAAATATTTAGTTTTTTTTATCATACTTTTATAAAATTTTAACCTCAATCTGAAATTAATATGTTCATATAACATTTGTCTATCCAAACAAAATTCAAGCATTCAACATGCAAAAGACAAACTATACAATTTACTAAAATGGAAAATGCCATAAACAACAGCTTCTACTACAACAAGGCAACTTCTTTGCAAAAATTAAAATGTAAAAACAAACTGTTTTTTTTGTTTTTGTTTCACCTGAGAATGAAAAAAGATAGCTAGGGCTCTTCACTTTCAGCATACAATTCAAAAAGAACGAAAAATCACATGAATGCAACATGACAACTTCAAAAAAAAGAATGGTACAAACAATGATTTCCTCTTCTTCTTTTTTTTTTTTTTTTTTTTTTTGAGAAATGAGTTATAATTGATAATGTAAATAGAGTCTTAATGTTGCATTAATCTTCTTGGAAAAATTTTACTAAAATGGAAAATGCCATAAACAACAGCTTCTACTACAACAAGGCAACTTCTTTGCAAAAATTAAAATGTAAAAACAACTGTTTTTTTTGTTTTTGTTTCACCTGAGAATGAAAAAAGATAGCTAGGGCTCTTCACTTTCAGCATACAATTCAAAAAGAACGAAAAATCACATGAATGCAACATGACAACTTCAAAAAAAAGAATGGTACAAACAATGATTTCCTCTTCTTCTTTTTTTTTTTTTTTTTACCAACCAAAAAAAAAATCTACACTACAAAAACACAACAGGAAATAAGAAATGCTGCCGCTGGTTGGTATGCTCTGGAGATTATAAAAAATAGTCGGGAGTTCTGCGTGTGGTGTCAGGTTCGGTCTGACGGGGTGCTGGGTCAAATTGTAGGAAACTATGATCCATATTCTCCCCAATCTCAAGTATTGCAGCCATATTTCCACAACGATAGCAGTAATTTGGTGCACTAAACACTGTAACAACATTATTGTCCTACAACAGAGATGACGTAAAAAGTTAAGAAACAAAACCGTTGGAATATCAACGCTCTGTTTGTTTTAGCAAAAACATTTTTCCATGTTTCGTTCCAACCTTGAAACTAATGTACTAGTTGTATTCGTGGTGGCGGTTGGGAGGTGATAGAGTGGTGGATGATGGTGCTGGTGGCGGGGTGGTAAAGGTAGTGGTGGTTGTTGGGGGTATTGGTAAGACTTGGTTCCGGAAAACATTTTCCACCTTTTAATAGTGTAAAATATTTTCTACTCAAATAAGCTTATTCATTGCTTTTGCTCTGTTGTATCAAACACTAGAAAATATTTTCTGCTAAAACAAACGGAGCATAATATCAAAATTGATTTCACATTTTATTTGGAATTTACAAACCTGACACCAATTGTAACCTTCCATCACAAGCTGGTGAGCTCTAGAAATAAGAGTGAGCCCATTAGTGTGGTTGAATTGGGCAGCTATATCCTGTCCAAAGGTGTATCCAGCTCCCCGAGGAGAAATTCCCCAACCGCACCGATCGTCTGGATCGGACCACAAGAGATCGCACATTGGCCCTTCATGAGGAACCTGCACCCGGCATACAAAGGAAGAGCATTAGAAATTAACCAAGAACGGAAAAAGTAGGAATTTATAAGTCTGCTTCAAATGTAAATCAAATAAAAAGACAAGTTGCTTCAGATAATTCAGTTTTTCCTTTCTTGTGGGGATCAAAAGAGGGAATTAGTTAAAAATTGAGCCTAACATAAGGACTTGGAGCGTTATCACTGTCTTAGGATTCATGATCGTATCTTACAATTTGATATTTTTAAAAACAATTACAAATCGATACGTATCTTATGTTAAATGTATCTTATTGTTCAGAAGAAGTTAAATGTATATTACACAATACATGTACAGTAGGTGAAATAAACAATACATCTATTGTACCTTAAATATGATACGCGATACATTTGATATATGAATACTTAAATTTCTTTAACAATTTTGAAAAAAATAATTGAACTTATTTTATGGAAATTAATATTGTTTAGAAATAATGTTTGTTGAGATGAGAAGGGTACTTTTCTTTTATTTTTGCCTACTCTTTTGACAAATATCTACATGTTTGGTATCAGTATCTTGTGCTGTAGATTTATACCTACTTATACCAGTTAAAGCTTGAAATTTTCTTTAAAAAGTAATAAATTAAATATTAAAACATAAATAGTGAATGAAGACAATATGAAAAATATACTACACAATTACAAATAAAGAGAAAAATTTTGAGGGAAAATTTTATTTGAAAATATAATAATGCACTGCAATGCTATATCCTCTGTTATAAATATTTTAACTCCGCTCTGCATTTTATACGCATTAAGTATTGATGAATACATATTTTTAATTCAATAAATCTTACTTTTGCAATTTTAATGATTTTATATTGTTTAGTGTTTTGTTCTCACAAGATACTTGTTTTCTATAATTATATTTATTTTTCTATCTATTTTTAAAGATGTTAAAAAAATTGCGATACACAATATGATACGCAATTCAAAAAAAATACATGATACGTATTCCAGTTTGACAACTATGATTATAGCATCTTGGACCAATTCTGGCACTTTTGATAAGATGTTAAAGCGAAAGAATTACCAAGCAAAAGCACGCGCACACAGACACTCATACAATTCAGAAATTAATAGATATACATGAAGAGGAACAATGGTGTGTGTACCTCCTGTATACGATCCAGGGCACGAATATTATCTAATGTATCTAAAGATGGGGAAAGACCACCATGCAAGCAGAAAATCTACAGGTGAGAACAATGATTGTCAGATAATATCATATAATCATGGCCATAATCAAAGTTGAGGCAATGTTACAAATTCCAACCTGACTCTCAATAAGGGCAGTCAGTGGAAGATAATCAAAAAGGTCAGTGAAATATTTCCACACATTTGCATTTCCATATTTTCTCAAGCATTCATCATAAAAACCATACCTGAAAAGAGAAACCACTATCATTGGTCAAAACAAGATACTAACATCATACAACAATCCATTCCTTCAAAACACTCAACAGCGTGATTTGCATTGCTTGAGGCTAACTATTTTGCATTTAGTCATTTTTTTAACATAATATGTGAGGTCAGAATCACCAAATGAGAATGAAATGAAGATATACAAAGCTTGATTGTATATTATCAACATATTTTCTTGCTCCTCACAGAACAGCTTTGAGTAACAACATTATTTAGGGGAGAAAGGCAAAAAGCAAATAACATGTCCTTCCTACTAAACAGTGAATCATGTTCAATGGCATAAACATCTCTCTAATAAGAATCCAATTAAAACAAATTTCTTATTTATCTCTCACTTTAGTGAAGAAAACCCTCCCGCCCTCCTTCACATACACAACACAAGTTCATTGGCCCATATATCACCGTTTTAAAAGAATAATATATAAATGCCAATATATCACAATACTTTCTCACCACTTTTAAAATTACAAAGAATTCAAAGGATTAAAAAGACCAGAAATGAGGCAAATTATCCTTGAAGGTTGTTCAACTGCCTAAAAAGTCATTTTTTACAAGACAATAAACCAGCCACAGGCACTTGTTACTAATAAACAAAAGAAGAAATCAATCTTAACTAGCAATATACTTAATATTGCCGTTTAGTATTGTCAGACTTGAGAAGTATGGAGGTCTTACACTTGAGTTATCTGCCTACTTTCATGATTGCCTCTAAGAATTGTAATTCTATCTCTATAACGAACTTTCAAGGCCACTAGAAGTGTAACGGTCTCCACGGAGTAGTATCCTCGATCTGTATCAATAAAAAATGTGGTTAAAAATGCATGCATTTTAAATTTAAAAGTTCAACAATAATACAAGTCTTACAAGATATATACGACTTGCAGTAATAATTGAATAGGATAGAGAGGATAATCAATTTGGACTACATCTATTTGGAAAAGAAAGTCATATGCTCAAAAAAGCTAAGTAAAAGAATAAAAATGAGAATATCCAGAATTTACTTTAAAAATTAAGGCCAAGCAACAAGTTGTGCAATAGAAAACCCTCTTAGAACTAGAAAGACAAAAGATAATGAAAAAAAACCCTATCAAAAACAAAATGAGTCCCATGATACGAGGTTGGGTTCAGCTACTAAGAGCCATTTACCAAATAAATAGTAAGTATATCCGTAGGAGCTTGTACTCTGTTCCAGCTTCCAACTATTGATATCTATCACCTAACCAACACATCAAATAAACTATAGGCATTTTTCATAACTAATTGTAGCAAACTGTCTTAAAATTGCTTATTGGTGGAATCCAAACTTATGTCCAGTGTTACCAAAAAGTGTTATACCCTAGCGAACTATGTTTTGGAATGCATGTTCCAAAACATGGTACATTTTAGTTCCGAAACGGTAAATTTAGTGATCCAAAATGATCCCCAAAAGTTTGTTTCAATATTTTTCCTTTTATCAAATATAATAAACTAAAATCTAAAATGAGTGAAGTTTCGACATCACAAAATGTCAAAAATGGGTCACAATGCTCATACAAATGTGTTACTTCACAATTAATTAGGAAAAAGATCCTACATTTCATTGGATGCAAGGAAGCACGGGTGCGGGTACGAGTACGGTACGGGTAAACCGATTCGGCAAAACTCAAAAAAAAGTACGATACGGGTACGGCTGCGGTACGCCGATTTTTATTTTTTATTTTTTAATATAATTATGGTTAAAGGATTCAACCTACAAATTAAAATTAAATATCAAAATTAAAAAGAGAACTACTCATTTTTCAATAATTTAAAACCATTAAGCGTTAAAAATAATATTTTTGAAATCTCTCACTTTGACATGTTATGCACTGTGAATTTGTGATCATAATTTATTTTTAAAATCTTTCTTTTTGCTCATCAATTTATTATTTTTATAGGGTGAGACCAAAGAAATAACAAGAAATCAAAGAAAGATTTAAAGTTAACTGCCAACAGTAAAGGAAAAAAAATTCTCAATTGGGGCAGGTCAGGTTGTCAATTGCAATTTGCATAATACATAAAATTGCATCATTTCCAATCACTATTAATCAATTAATACAGTATCAATTTTTAATATTTTGTGCATAAGTTTTAAAAGTTTGTTATGATTAAAGATTTTATAAAGAAATTCTAGGAGGATCTGAAGCAAAAGTATAATACATAGTCATACACAGAACTACCCTTTATAGGCCTTGTTATTTTTTTTTTGTTCAAATTACTTTTTAAAAAAATCAAAATCATTTGCTGATATGCTTATACAATTCATACAGACAGAAAGGACAGCAGAAAAAATCAAAATTGCTGATCTGCACGGGCACAAAAAAAAATAAAAATAAAATAATAATAATAATTGTTGTTTTACAAGGGCACAAAAAAAATAAAATAAAAATGGCTGTGGCATACCCGAAACGTACCAACAGCGTACCCATGGCGTACCCACGCCGTACGCGAATGAACCAAACGTACCGAACCCTCTTTGCCGTACCCGGTACGCGTACCGCCGTACTAGTACGCGTACCCGCACCCGGTACTCGTACGGCACTATTTTTGGAGTACCCGTACTTCATAGATTGGATGTCTAATTGTTAAAAAATGTTACTCTAGACTAGAAGTACTTTAATTTCTTATAATGTAAACTATACAAATCTACCTCTATCGCACCACAATTAGAGCATGTGATATATCGCATTCCCAAACGATCCACAGTCCAGTAGCCTAGCTTATGTGTAATTCTGAGAGGATTGCCAAGAGACTATAGGCAGCCAAGCCAGCACACTCATTTCTACAAAGACCATATCAGACTCAAACCATTGACTCGAACCCATATCAAATTTAAACTTACAAATCACTCAAAAACCTCACCATTCACTGACTTGAACTTATATCAAATTGAGTTTTACCCAAATCAAGGGAGACACAAATGTTTCCTAACACTTTTCAAGACCATTTTGTAGCTTTCAAACTTACAACTCTGCCATTACTGAAACTTGTACTTAAATTTGAGTAGGACCACTCACATTATACTCAATTCTTCACCTAAACCCTTGACACCTAAAATTTAATGAATGCATGTAATCCAGTCACTGTCACTAAGCTAACATGCTAATAGATCATTCAATCTCTTTCGCAACATTAATCGCAAACAATACGTACGAATCAAACATTAAAGTCGCACTATGTCAACTACTAACCTACATAATCTCCCATGAAAAGGTAATTGGTGTCCGGAGAACTGCCACCAATGCGAAAGAGCTCGAGAAGATCATGGAACTGGCCATGAATATCGCCGCACACAGTTACCGGACACTTCACCGGCTGAACGTTCCATTCCTCCGCCAGGATCGCTCGAGCTTGATCACAGAGCTTCTTCACCTCCGCCTCCGGCAGTGGCTTGCACTCCATCAAGTGCTCGATCTGCCGGTCCAGATCCGATTGAGAGGCCATTGTTGTTCCGAGTATCAATCTGTGAGACCAAGTACTGTGTCGCCGGATATGGAGGAAGATTCGCCGGAATATTCGTCTAGGGTTCGAACATAGTCGCCGGGAAATTGAAGGAGGAGCAGGAGGGGACAGTCGTCGAGCTCCGCCGTAGACGGTGGAGAGGTTGGATTTTGCCGGACGGTGATTTAGGGTTTCGGAGAGCGAGAGAGTGATTTCAGTCCTCAGTATCTTGACCCATTTCGTCGACCAAAAAGAATAGTTGTCTTGTTTTTCTTGCTTTAGAGCCCTTCTATTCTTTCATAATTCTTTTGTTCCCCTTGTCACTCTAGGTTGTTGGGAATATGTTATATAAATACACTTTTTGAATTTTCAGCTAAAAAAGTAGAAAAAAATGATGTATGTTTGAAATAATTTTTTAATTTTTTATAAAAAAATGTGTAATAAAATATTGTAACAAATATCAAAATTACCATTCTACCATTCCTAACACATGCAGCAGCACTGTTTACATTTCGTGTATTTCAAAATTTTTTTTAATGAAAATTCGTGACTTATATTGTGCCATGTCATTGCATTTGGGGAAATGTTGATGCAAAGTAATTTGCAGTACTGAGCTACACTATGGGCTGTTGAATTCAAAAATTTTGCCTTTTAAGCTTTCCTCACACGCTTCTCCCAAATAATAGGGATTTTTTTTAAATTTTTAGTAATTTGTTGACACTATCGTAGATTATGCAAACAATATCATCCAATTTTTTACTTAAAAACAAAAACAAAAACAATAAAAAAAAAAATTGTAACAAAAGCATAAAATCATAAATAGAAAAACAAACAGACAAGTCTTAGACAAATACTACTTAAATATCTACAGATAATTAGTTTTAAATTTATATTTTACATCAATGTTAAGAGTATTTTTTTGGAAAATTACCAAGAGATTAGAAAAAATTTTAGAAAAATATGAGGATTTTTAAAAAAAAACTACAATGAGAAGTTGAAAAAGAATGGGGTACAAAATCATGTTGTTTTACATTTTTGGTCTCTAATTTTTAATTTTTTCCCATTTGTTGTCACATTTTACCATTGTGATTCCTTGCCAACCATTGCTACCACTACTTTTCCTAGCCATCCTAATTATTTTTTGTTATTATTACATAATCATCACTTTTTCCCACCCACCCATAGTACTTATTTGCCATTTCACAACACCCGTCAACTTTTCTTATACCTTTCATTTCCCTAACGCTGTTTAGGGATTGTCGCAGTTCGATTTTAGACAGTTTGTAGATTGATTTGGACCTGTCCGCATATTGCGATTTGAGAAAAATTCAACCCGCAATCGCTCGCAGTGCGAGTTGTGATTTATGCAGGTAGGGTTCGCGGATATGCAGACAGTTTGCGGATTAGACTTTTTCTTTTAGACAATAAGCATGGTTCAAAAATAATATATATAAAAAAAAGAAGGAATAAACAATAAGCAACTAAATTCATCCAAGTTATCAGAGCCACACATAGCAACTATGCCTCCGTTTGGGAAGTGGGTTGACTTTTTGGCTTTTTGACTTTTTTGGCTATTTTAGCCTAGGCTTAAAAGCTTGGTTTGGGAAGGGCCTTTTGACTTTTTGGCTTTTTTGAATTTTTTTGTGAGAGAAGAATGTAATGATTATGGGTTGGATGTGATGTTTTGTTTGTTATGGCTAAAATAGCCTATTTTGTTTTTTGTGGCTAAAATAGCCAAAAAAGCCCAAACCATGGCTTCCCAAACGAAGCCTATATATTCAATTTGTTATGAATCTTCAATTTGTGTATATTTTTAACTGTATATATTTTAGTATACACACAACAACTGTTGTCAAACTTTAATAAAAGTAATTCCAAAATGATAGTAATTATTTATTAACTTTTACATTCATCCAAAATGTAATAATGTATATCCTAATCAACGGTCCAGGTAAAAAAATAAAAAAAAAACTTAAGTGCAGGCGAGTTCTTGTGGGTGTGGATAAAACCTGCAACTCACAATCATGTTATATTCTAAACCGCATTCGCTCGTATTATGTATGCGAAACTGTCCATTCGCATGCGATTTGGTTCAAGTTGGGCGGTTTGAATAACTCTATATTCAGCCTAACGCTGTTAGTTTCTATCACTCAACATTGTGACCTCTTTTCCATTCAAAAACCCATTTATTATCTCAAGTTCGATCACCCCTCTTCTTTCTTTCTTTCTTTCTTTTTTTTTTCCATTATATTTCCAACATGACCACCACCTCATTTTTTTTGCTGCTATTAGTACCTACCAAAATTCTTTGGACCCCCCATTTCTTTGGACCCCAACCCTAAACCCTAAATTTTAATAATATTTTTTTGGACACCCCACTTATTACCAAATCTACCCATATTCATAATATTTTCACAATGAAATGCATACCCACCTAATTTTTCATTCCTCTCATTCCCTGACTCACTTAATCTTTAGAGTTTGGAGCTTTGGTCCAGTATAGAATTCTTGGACCCCAGCCCTCCATCATTCTCGTCGCCGTCTCAACCGTCAACGGAGCATTCCGACGACTCTCATCTTCTCTCAACGCTTTCCGTATCACGGAATCAGTAACCTCTCTCATCCTTTCATCATCATCTTCTTCGTTGCTTTTTGTATCTTCATCCTCGCTGAGATCGATCGAAGATACTTCAATTTCTATGGGATTTGCATAACCGTTTGCAAGATAAGGAAAAACAGAATCATCGTCTGAATGGCCATCAAAATTCTGAATATAGCCCAAAATAATTTGTTCACCACTGTGTAGCCGAAGAAATGTATTTTGTTCAGAACTGTTTTGTCGAACAATAATGATCATGTCAGCACTGTATGTCCGAAAACAAATATTCAGGCAAGCCTGTACTCCCTTCTTCCAAGCTCCGCTTCTATCCGATCACCTGCGTACACAAAAGCGGTGAGCTATCCGGCGGTGTGTGGTCGGAAAACCCCTCCGATGGTCAAGTTAGAACACACATCAGGGGATGGATAGACAGAAGGGAGAGAATTGTGTATAGTGTTTATCTCACCAAAAATGTCCTGTCTCCAGCATGGGGGCGCAGACTTGCTTATATACTTTCTGCGCCCCAAATCTACTCCCAGTGATCTCTCGACACGTGGTTCTACTATCCCATCTGTCAGCACAAATCTTGCTGAGCATCACCTAATCCAATTGTCAGCCCACTCTACTGGGAGCTCGGCAGTCGGGCAACATTATCTTAGCTACCAATGGCCATACTCCACTTCAAGCCCAAGCGTACTTGACGGCGTAAGGCTTCTCCAACCGGGCTCATTTCTAGCCGTGCTCGACTGCATTCCAACGAAGCCAAGATGGAGGTTGATCAACTTGGTCATGCCGGGCTGAGGGCGCGTGTATTACAACCGAGCAACGCGCGAGCTGTGGAACCCTTACCTGACTGAACCTTAACCTGTCCGGTCTCCGTGCTAACGAAATCAGGTAGCTCGGTTCCACAAGGCCTTTGCCATTACCGAGCAAGATCACGGCCCAATCTCGGAGCCAAATACCTCGGCCCAACCTCGTTCGGCCCAATTTGTCCGGCTAATCCCACATTCCCAAATTCAAATCATTAATCTCCCTCTCAGTTCATCACTGTGTAACTTGAATCCATTCCAATTCACAACTTAAAATAACATAAATTAAATCCATTCAAAATACATAACTTAAATCCATTCCAATTCACTCTTTTCCATTCTAAGTTAATTTAACAAAAAAAATTACATAACTGACTATCTGCATTAATGTTCGGAACCTATGTATTGAACGAAATGATTATGTTCAGTATTGTATTATCGAACATAATTCTAACAGTCAGCAAACCAATACCGAACAGCTCGAACGAAAGAAGAACGACAAAAAACGACCGAGAATGTTAATACAAGACATATAAACTTATCAATGGAACGCCGGTCTCACTAGAATTGTTGTCCTCGTCCTCCATTGCTTTACACAGTGAAATAAGTGATGAAATATATGTTATATTTGAAGCAAAAATTTCAAGTTCAATAGCGTTGATGATGGTGATGAAAATGATACATTCAAGATTTAAAATGATTATGAAAAATAATAGATTTAGGGTTTATGTTAGTTGGTTATAAAAAGTAATAGGTTTAGGGTTTACAAAAATGGAATATATATAGTTGGAGGTGGGGATGGGGATGGAGGTGAGGGTGGGTGTCCAATATTATAGAGTATTAGTTCTTGTTGATAGGTGAGTGTTTTATTTAATAATGTCTTTTAATGTAATTTTACTTTAGGGTATAATTTTAATTAAAAAAAATTATAAAATAGGGAGGTCCAAAGAATTTTTTACAGGTGCTAATAACATCACTCTTTTTTTAACTCGACCAAATATGAGAACTAGAATAATAGATCAAATTCAAAGCCATAGATGATCGGTTCATCAAAATTTAATTAAATTGGGTCAATTATGAAGAAGTTAAGTGGGACTAAAAGGGGTTGATGCGATAAATAAGACTAGGGTTTCGTTTGGGAAGTGGGTTGGTTTTTTGATTTTTTAATTTTTTTTATTATTTTAGCATGTGGCTAAAAAGCTTGGTTTGAAATAAATTTTTTTGACTTTTTTTAACTTTTTAGCTTTTTTGTGAGGTGGCCACATGTGAAATGACCCAAAAGTCCTTGAGGTGAAAGACAACATCTGTTGTTTGCTTTTATTTTATTTATTTTTTATTGTTTTCAATTTTATTTATTTATTTATTTTTTTTTTGGAAAAGGCTTTTTATGTTTTGTTTTTTTTTGAAATTTACGTGGAGAATGAAAAACAATGGCGTTTTTTGTTGTCTTTTTTTAATTTTTTTTTTTATATTATTTTTGGAAAAGGCTTTGTTTAAATTATTATTATTATTATTATTATTATTATTATTATTATTATTATTATTTTGTTTTGTAAATGACGTGTAAAATGCTAAATTTTGATTTATTTTATTGTCTTTTGGTTTTCTTTTTTTTAATTTTTTTTTTCCTGAAAAGGCTTTTCCATGTTTTTTATTGTACGTACAAAAATGCTAATTTCAGTTTCATTAGTGACTTTTTTTTTATATTTTTTTATTTATTGTTGGAAAAAGCTTTTTTTTTGTTTTTTTGTTTTCCTTAAATGATGTGGACAACGATAATTTTGTTTTTTGATTTTGATTTTGATTTTTTCCTATTTTGCGAAAAGGCTTTTTTCCAATATTTATTTAAATAACTGGACAATGCTAATT